TCACCAATGTTGAGAACCCGAATCCTTTAATAATGATGGTGCCAAAGTTCGAGATGCCACCGTTGGGAATATTGCCTAGGTAGATCTTAGTTACTTGAATGGACTTGAACATGATATAAGTCACATACAAACCATGCCAAGGGTGAAGAAGATGTAGAGCTTGTAGTCCATGAAAGCCTCCAAAATCTGATACGGCTTGAGATGTTTGTTCTCGACACCAGTCTGGTTTTCCCGTAGACGCTCAACAGCCATGCGACGCTCTCTTTTGGTAAGGCCTTTTGCTGTAACGGGTGAATCTGGAAGGAAGATGAACATGACAATACCCCAGGCAGAACACAAAGCACCACTAAACAAGGTTAGTCAAATAGAAAGTTCCAATGAGGGCGAGAGGGAATCAACATACATCACGATAAACTCGTATTTCCAAGACGGCAGTGCACCTTTAAGATGACCAATTCCATAGCCCAATAGCCCACCCAATGCAATGCCGAGGCCATTTGCTGTATACCACAGTCCGAGACGCACTGGCTGTTCACGACGAGTATACCACATGCTCGTTATGAGCATAAAGGCTGGGTCAGCGCAGGCTTCGGCAGCACCACCAAGAGCTCGAAGAACAGCAAGGGTCTCGAAGCTGTTACAGGCAGCTTGGATCATGAGGAAGACACCCCTTGAAGAGGAACGTTAGTATCCGGTTGCATTATATTCGATATCAGTTCAACAAACCACATAAAAATATTAGCACCCAGATATTTCCCTAAAACAGGTATTAGATGAATATCCAGTCAAATTGCCAGGCTCGAAATGCGAGAATCATACCAATTGGAAGACGCTGCATCAGAAAGTTGGTAGGGAATGCCCATGCTAGGAAACCAAAATAGAAGATACTGCTCAGCCAGCTATACCGGGTCCCATGTAGATCGAGATCTTCCCGAATTCCAAAGATAGCAGCGTAGCTCAGCGTTGTCTGTTTCCAAACATGGATGATATTAGTACAGATTTTCAACCAAAAAAGGAGTGAATAGACAAATCATCCTCAATCAAAGAGACTGACCTTATCAATGTAGAAAAACGCATAACAAACAGCCAAGTAGGGCAGGATCATGAAGTCAATCTTCCACAATAGCTTCCTAGCTTCCACAGGATCGACATCTTCGTGGAGCTCGTCCGGGTCATCGAACAGCGCCATAGCCGTGTCACCATCGGCATTTTTGGCAGACTTAAATTTGGAGTGTTCTTGATTGCTTTCTGCATGGCTGATAGTGGGAACTTCGGCAATATTGGCCTTTGTGTCAACATTCTCTGGGGGAGCGTGGTTAGCCATAGTGGAGTTAGTTGCTTATAACAGGAGATGGAGAATAAAGTTCTATTGAATTTGGATAGAGGCAATATATATATAAACGCAAGTGCAACGCTCCATGACAAGAAATGTATAAAATGACAATAGCAACCTCGGGGCGACGCCGAGTCTCCCCCCTTGATTCAAGACAAATCCAAAGTCCTCAAAGGGCAGGCATCTCGTACTTCCCCGCGAATTTCAGAGCTTACCTGCCTCAAAGGGAATAATCAAAGATCATCTGCGGGGAAGACCCCCGAATGGGGCCCCCACGCGGAGCCGACAGGTCGTGTCGCTAGCTGATGTGGTCAAAACGTGGGGAAGGTTGGTCTTGGCTGACGAGTAGAGCAGAGTCAAATACAAAGTATTCAATCCGGTTTATTGCGCTAGTCCATCTTAACAAGTTTGGCTGAATGCCAAAGTTTGCCCAACACAAAGGCTACTGTTTTGGTCGGTGAAAGTCCGAGTCCTCGGGGATTATGCCGCTTGACTGATCATTTGTTGAAGATACTATTTACTCAAACTCATCACTGGGCGAGATGCAGGCTGGTTTTGCTGAAGTTAGTCTTTAAACCTCGGTTTTGCGAAGGCCAAATTTGACATAAGCAATGTGCTGAAATATATAGAGAGAAAGAGAAAAAGAGAGGAAGAGGGGGGAATTGTGTTTATAGGGCAGTCGTATGGATGAACGATAGTAATGGTTTCACTTGAGTCAAGTAGTGTATAAGGATTGTCGAAAAACGCAAGACGCTCTTCTATAATAATGTCAAGAACCTTGGAGATCCTCTTCGGCATTTATAACGCCAAGGTCCACTTAAGCCGGTAGGTAAGCTATGATTGCCGAGGTAGTGTGAACTTTGTTTAGTATGTACTGGATAACATTAGACATTATTTATTTAATTATAAACTACTAGTAAGTCGAATTTGGCTTAGAGGTCGTAGGGCCCATCGGTGGATATATAACTTACTATACTATGTTGGTAGTACCGCCGTAAGATACACTGAGGAGCATCACTTTGACTGTAAGGGGGTGTCACCCTTTGGAATGCGTTGATATCGAAACGACTGATGTCGCGAGAGTAAACTATAATTGGAACAAGTGCCAACGGGTAGGTAATTTGTGTATATATACAGCTGTCTAGAATTCTTTTGTAGTTTGCATCGATCCAACACAGAGACCGGAGCTTTTATGCCTGGACGGGATATAAATGCTGCCTAGAGCTTATCCTTCATGTGGTCTTTGGCCATACCCGGCGAATTTGCGTGCCGAGATCTTCTGCTCGAACATATGATCCAGCTGCTCAAAGGTCCTGCTTCTGGTCTCTGGTAAGCAGAAGTAAGTCCAGACACAGGCGATGATTGAGAACCCCCCAAATATGAAGCCTGTCTTGCCCCGAAGGTTACCTTCATCAGGGTTTATCATGTAAGGCACGGTAAGCGTCATGATCAAAGTCCAGAAATTTTGCGTGAAGAAACCAATGCTGACTCCGTATGACCGCAACCGAGTAGAAGACATCTCTCCACAAATCACGTATCCAAGAGGCCCAAGGGTGAGATCATAGAAGAAGTTCCAGACGATAATCAATACGCACTGCCCCATAGCAATGGAGGAGTTGTAACCTGGTATAACGTCAAGAATACCAATGATGAAGAGAATGGCAGTGAGAACGAGCATGCCAGGGAAGAGAGCTCTGCGACCGATGGTGTTGATGACCCACCATGAGCAAATGTTTCCGAGCACACCAACCGCAGTCACACCGACGCCCATGTCGAAGGATGAAGAGGTAGGGATGCCGGCGACTATAGTTGGAAATATTCATTAGTAAACAGAAATAACAGAAATAAGTTGTCAATTCGGAAAACTTACTTTGGAAGAAGTAGGTTGAGTAGCTGAGCACAAAATTGACACCACTGAAAGAGTTGATGGTCCAAACAGAAATGACAATCAGTGTTCGACGAAGGTCAGTTCCCCGGAAACAATCCAAATAGCTAGCGGAAGATGCTGATTCCTCTTCTATGCGAACTGTCTCTTGGATCTCAATGAGCCAGCTATTAATGCTTCCGCCAGTCTGGAATCGTTCGAGAGATTTCTTGGCCTCGGTATGCTTGCCCCTTTGGACGTACCAATATGGAGATTCGGGGCAGAACCACACGCCAGCGAGGAGAATTGCCGGGAAAATCCACTGGAACGAAAAGGGGATTCTGTATGCATAAGTATCTGGTCGCCCACCGAAAGCCTTGATGAGACAGTTCCCGAGGAGCTGGCCGACAACAACAAAGAGATTGACCATGGCAATGGTGATTCCGCGAAGCACGACGGGGCAAGCTTCAGAACAATAGGCACATGCGGTGACAAGGAACATGCCAAGTGAGATTCCGTTGATCAATTTTCCAGCGAGTAGCACCCCTCGAGTGAATGCAAAGAACTGTAAGAAGATGGAGCCACTGGAGACGACACATGCGATAGTCAACGTCATCCTTCGACCTACGTAAGGTGAGATAGGACCGCAGAGTAGACTTCCAAGCATTCCACCAACCGTGGCAACCATGTTGAAGGCAGCTTGCCATTCTGCCGGAAGGATAGTTGTGCCATCAGACTGGGTGTACCCAAACACCGCGCGGAACTCGGGGGCGGCAAGAAGGCCTCCGCTGACCTGCATATCGTAACCCCAGAGGATGGCAGAAAAGCAGAAGAACAGACTGTATAGCATGGCATTTCGGTAACTGGTAAGAGCCACCTTCAGGCTCATAGCAGATCCGGAGACTTCATCAGTGTGCTCAGACTTCTTTATATCGGTGGGATTCATTATTGATGGAGTAGCCTCCAGATGGACGGTTTCAACGGGTTTGTCTTGATCAAGACCCATAATGCGAGGTCCAGAAAAAGAAAGAAAAACAGAAGGAAAACAGATGGACAGATGGACAGATGGACTAGAATGTCCAATGGAGATTTGAAAAGAGATTAGATCAAGATAGTTCAAAAAGGTCTTCTGCTGTTAGGTGGGGAGTTCCGTAGATTTAATACTCCAGGACTCTCATGCCATGTGCCTATTACCTCCGCATTCTTCTGGCCCGACTTCGGGGTATTGATTTCCAGCCCCGGGTCATGCTAACAATCTGGGGAAGTTAGCTGACAAGTTAGCAGACAAGCTCGCTGTGCCGAAGGGGTGAAGATACAAACTTGGACAAGAACAGACACTAACGGTCTTCCCGATACCCCCGTCTAGATCCACATGCCCACGTGATCTGATGGGATTGGACATCTTCCCATTTTGTGGGCAACTGAAATCGTCTTAAATGTGCTAAATCTTCAACGGCTCCGATTGACGCGATGCCGATACCCCCCGTGGACGTTATTGGTTAGAGAAGCTCCATTCTCTCCGCAAAACCAACCCCACAATGCATCGGCTCCGATAGACCCGCGACACAAGTTGGAGAAATGGGGATAACTACATGCCGAGTCCTTTACTATATGCCGGTGAGTCTTTTACCCTGCAGGGTCCATAAAATATGCGAGATAATCCCAGTTGGGGTGTTTCCTAGGCTGCGACGTCATTTAGTCCAACGCTATGGTATAAAGGACGCAGAGTAGGAAATCTGCCTTCACCTCCCTAGACGACCTGAGAGTCCAAATTTATTCCCTTCAAATTTCTATTCCACCACTATGAGCTCTCCTCGGGCCAAACAGCTGGCCCTACAGGCCGATCCCGACCGGCCCGATTTCATGAACCCCGCGGTTTTTCGCAGAAATACCCTCCCCGCGCGTTCTTATTATATCCCCTCTACATCTCTACTTCTCAATGGAGCATGGGAGTTCAATATGGCCCGGTCACCACCGGAGGCACCGGACTCCAGCGAGGAGGCCTCCGAAGAGGACTGGTCCAGCATCAATGTTCCGGGCCATTGGCAGTTGCAGGGTTGGGGGAAGCCGAATTATACCAACACACAATTCCCCATCCCAGTGTGCCCTCCTTTTGTGCCCACCGAGAACCCCACGGGTACATACCGTCGGAAGTTCCAAGTGCCGGCGGAATGGAAAGCAAACAACACAGAAATTCGTTTGCGATTCGACGGCGTCGATAGCGCGTACCACGTTTGGGTGAACAAGTCCTTGGTCGGGTATGCGCAGGGTAGCAGAAACCCCTCTGAGTTCGACATTACACCATTTTTGAAGGACGGGGACAATGAAGTCTTTGTCCGGGTGTACCAGTGGTCAGACGCTACGTATATCGAAGATCAGGATCAGTGGTGGCTATCTGGTAAGATTCAAATTGCGATGTGCGACAATGGGAAAATAATCATTTGCTAATACGTTTCATGATAATAGGAATTTTTAGAGACGTCACTTTGATTGCATTCCCACCCAACGATCGTTTGAATGACTGGTTCATTCGCACAGACCTCGATTCAGAATACAAAAATGCGACACTTCTCGCAACGATTGATTACCAGGTCTCAGAGAAAAGTACCATTACACTCAATTTACATGAGCCAGTGGACGGCAGCAGTCATGTCATTACTTCCACGGAGTGTATTGTGGAGCCAGCAACATCTACAGCTGAACTCAGCTTTCCTGTAACCAATCCCAAGAGGTGGACTGCCGAGCAGCCATATCTATATGAAGTGGAGATGATCCTGACAACTCCTGGATCCAACAAAACTTTCAAAACTACACAGCGCATTGGTTTTCGCAAAGTCGAGCGCAAGGGTGGCCTTATCACCGTTAACGGAAAGGCTATTCAGCTTCGTGGAGTAAACCGACATGATCACCACCCGCTTTTGGGTCGTGCCGTGCCACTGGACTTCATGAGGAAAGACCTGCTTTTCATGAAAGCTCACAACGTAAATGCCCTTCGCTGCAGTCATTATCCCCCCGATCCTCGGCTTCTTGATATGGCCGATGAGCTGGGATTCTGGGTTATCGATGAAGCCGATCTTGAATGTCATGGCTTCTATGACGCTGTCTCACGCCCAATGGACATGGACGAAACACTTGGCTACGAGCAACGGAAGGCAATGACCTTTCCCAAGTGTGGTGCCCATACATCAGATAACCCAGTCTGGCGGGCAGCCTACGTTGATCGAGTTCATTCGCTGATTCAACGAGACAAGAACCATCCTAGTATTATTATCTGGTCTATGGGAAATGAAGCTTTCTTCGGTACATGTCACCGATCCATGGTGGAGTATGCCCGGGCCTTCGACACCACTCGCTTGGTGCACTATGAGGGTGACGTGGATGCGGAGACCACAGACATGTTTAGCTACATGTATCCAGAAATCAACCGTCTGAGATCCTTGGCAGCCACGGAGGGTGCTTCGAACAATGGCGAGTTTGAGAAGCCTATCATTCTGTGTGAATACGCTCATGCCATGGGTAACGGACCCGGCCTTCTTATGGAGTACGAGAAATGCTTCGATGAGATCCCGCGTTTGCAGGGTGGTTTCATTTGGGAATGGGCCAACCACGGGTTATACATTGAAGGAAACAGCAATAAAGATGGCTTTTATGCTTACGGTGGTGACTTCGATGACTATCCAAATGATGGAACATTCGTGATGGATGGCCTCTTGAACAGTGCTCATCAGCCTCTGCCAGGTCTGTTGGAGCTAAAGAGAGTCTTTGAACCAGTGAAGTTGGAAGTCTGTGGACAAGTCTTAGCTTTGAAGAACCGATACAACTTTTTGGACTTAAGCCATCTCCAAGCTTCATACAAGCTTGAATCATTTGACAAGCAGTGAGTCCATGCCTCTCGTCTCAATAAATTGAAGACACCCTAACTTTTCAACCCAGAACAAAGACTCTGGCAACTGGATCGCTGAAACTACCCATTGTGCCCGCTGGGCAATCTGCTGAGATTTACCTCCCAACAGAGCTCTTCCAACACAACGCCCATCCAGCATACCTGACCATTACACTTGAGCAACGACAGAAGGTTGAATGGGATCAGGGGGCTTATGTTGTTGCTTGGACACAACATTTAGCATCAAAGCCAAGTGAGAAAGCCCCAGTCAATGGCCTGAGCTCTACTCAAGATGATATCTCGACAAACTCCACCAAGACAACCGTCTCGGTCAGTGGATCCAACTGGTGCTTTGAGTTTGATCACATTCGGGGACATCTCAGAAAATGGACATACAACTCAACTTCTATTCTTGAGCCGCATCCTGACACAGGGCTTGCGATGGTGCCTGGTTTCTGGCGTCCCCCGACGGACAATGACGTACCTTCTGCGATGCCGTATTGGAAGCGATTCGGGGTAAACTGTCTCACAAACCAGTTCCGTTCCTTTAATATGTCACCGCTGGAGGATGGAAGTATATGCATCGAAAGCCAGACATTCCTCTCGCCACCAGTCCTTTCTTGGGGATGGAAGTGCCTTGCGCGTTATATCATCAGACCGAATGGCTCGTTGTCCATCACCATGAGCTTGCATCCCACTGGAGCCGCACCGACAAATGTTCCTCGGGTTGGGCTCAACCTTCGTGCAAATTCTGACCTGCAGTCAGCAAATTGGCTTGGACTTGGTCCTGGAGAATCGTATCCCGATAAGAAGGTTGCCCAGAAGTTTGGTTTGTGGAATGTTGTCAATATCACGTCCTTGCAGACGGTCTATGACGTTCCACAGGAGAATGGAAATCGCACAGACACTGCTTGGGTCGAACTCCTCACTTTCAATGGCACGGGCTTCCGTGCAAGCCCGCTGGAAAGTACGGTGGCCAATGGAGGAACGGCAAGCTTGAGCTGGACGGCTAGCCAGTACTCCGATGAGACTATTGAGGCGGCACGACACCCCTGTGATCTCGTCAAAGGTGACGCGCTGTTTGTGAGATTGGATGATCAAGTCGCGGGTGTAGGAACTGCAGCCTGTGGCCCGGGCCCTATGGATGAGCATATAGTTAAGGTGCAGGATATCACCTTTGGTATGCTATTGGAGCCTGTATCTTTATGAAGACTGAAGACTGGATATTTAGATATTGGTTCGTTTAAAAAGATACTCACCATATATACCTCTCACTTAAGGTGTTGTTCAAAGGGCAGATCCAGAATGGAAAGCATTGTGCAACTAGCAACGGATCTTTCACTGCTGGTCAGTACTTCTTTTATCCCCTCGCTTAATTCGTTCCAACCATCCAGTTTCCGCAATCGCAGGGCCAAAAAAGACTATGCTTTCTCAATACCTGTTCAACCTACCGCATTCTGTAATATCTGAAATTGTTTCAGGATAGAGGTTGGAGTTAGGTTGAGCTTAACACAGGAAGAAATTAAAAATTTCCGTGTAACGGACAAAATTCGAGAACGCGTTTGTGAATTAGACACGGGGATGTTATACTTTATACCGGAGACCTCCTAATGACTGGGAAAACCAATAATCTTTAGGATCGGATCATGGAATAGTAGTAATAGGCCGTATCAAGGATATAGGATTGAACTTTATGAATTAGATGACTGTTCCGTGTTTTGTTCGGGAAGCCAGGAAAGGAAGTTAACAGACTCGTCAGCCAAAGCCTTCAATGGAACATAAAATGATTGAAAACTTGAGGTTCAAAAAGAACAGCGGTCGTATACCCCATGTGGAGCCCATTTGCAGCCCACTCCCTGAGGGTGGGCAGCATCACGTGCCTCCACGTTGGCATCGTTCACGTCAATTCGACCATTCCGCCTGTGTCTTTGTCACCTGCGCCATTGATTCGTTCATTTTCTACCAATAGAAGCTCATTGTTGAAGCGGGCCAGGAGTTGTTAGGGGAATCTTGATATCAAGTATTCTGGCACCGATATGAAGAGATTCAGGGCAGCTCGAGCGGTTTGTCTCCCATTTCCCTTGTCGGGAACTAGCCGGTTGGATGCAACATCGAAACTAACCAAATCCACAGTGCGACTCATGCCGCCAGCGCAAGACAAGGCTAGTCATGTTATGTATGATCTTGTAGTATATGACGTTAACAAACTTGACAGATGTGACGCTCGGGACCCCTGTGGGCCCTGTGTAAGCTTGAACCAAACCTGTCTATATGGAACAGAAGCTATATCGTAAGTAAGTTGATGTCATTTTGGCAGTCAGAATTAACATCAGACCAGAAGAGGGAAAAGTGAAATGATATTGGATACGGTCTTGCGAATGGAAGCCTCGATTGAAGAACTCAAGGGCATGGTCGTACGTAACGAGTGGCCAAAGATTATTTCTTACTTACTGATGAGAAATTCCAGGCTGCGGGCTCCTGTTCAAGCACGTTGAATGCCATCCAGGCCAATTCAACCTCCCCTTGTTCGACAGTTACCCCGATGTCTCAGGATGTACGCCACCATCCACATGGGTACACAGCTAGAGACCCTACTGAAAGTGCCGTGCTTTCATCAGGACATCTCTCTTCGGCAGAGTCTCTTTTGAAGTGGTCAGTTTTTCATGATCACCGTTCAATACTGGCGGAGGGGGAATCTTCCTTTCTGTCGCTCGAATATGGACGACCGCCCTTTCAGAGCAAACTCTATGGGATATTCCCTAGCGTGGGCTTGTCAGAAGTAAAAGATATGGTAGGTGTATTCCAACGGACATATAACTTTTGGTTCCCTACAATCAGCTTGGACGATCTAAAGTCCTTGCAATTGAGGATATGGCAAGAGAATCTGGAGCCTAGTTGTCAATCTTGTCTGGCATTATTGGTCATGGCGTTGGGTTGCGTCGGGGCTTCCGTTACAGACGAAGAAGACAGTTCGGAAAGCAAGTCTCAACAGCTGAAGCTGCAAGGAGCATCATGGTTCACTGCCGCAATGAAGATGCTTCACTTGGCCCACATCGAGATGAATGTGGAAGCGTGCCAATGCCTCTTGCTGACTGGGTATGACAACATTGTTACGGGCCGAAACGGCGAGTCAAGATGGAGCTGAAAAATATCTAGTCTCTACTTCTCCTTTTTGCAAAGACCGCTGCAAACATGGTCTTATGTGAACAGCGCGGCGACTCGTTGTCGTTTCCTACTCTCTTGCCCTTTTAACAATCCTGAGCGTGATGACCGAGAACATATCACCAGAATATTCTGGTCATGCTTTGTATTAGAAAGGTAAGCACAGAAATGACCTCTTACACTGATCACAGGCTAACTCGCAATAGCAACTATATCTCAGAATTGCCGTCACTTCCACAAAACTGCAACGCCGAAATCGAATCAATATTTTCTCTTCCGGGCAAATTCCACTCGCATGAAGCTATTGAAGAAGAAGAAAAGTCAACCTTCTACTTCCTCGCATCGATAGCACTCCGTCGGCTCCTCAACCGCGCTCACTACATGCTCTATGACCGCGACATCGGCCTTCAAATTGATTCCAATAGTTTTCCTTCTGTGAACCAAGAACTGGCACGCCAACTTCAAGACTGGTATCAAACACTACCTCCAAGTCTGCGATTTCCCGAGGACGGAAAACCCGCAGATGACCCGCATAGCGAGTATTTGAGGCAGTGGTATCTCAGTTGCCGAAGTGTCATTTATCGACCTTATCTGGAATGGGCTCTCGCTAATCCATTGTGGGATCTCAACAACAACCTGCGCGTACTCGATGGTTGTCGGGTTGCTCTCGACACTTGCTTGTTCAAATTAAGGTACCTCAAGCAGGTACCGTATACTGTCATGGTAGACACATGGCCATGTTCGCTTTCGTAAGTCTGATTCGCCAAGACTTCTCGGCTATTGAGCATTATTGCTAATACAATGAATTATCTTGCTAGACTCGAGACAGCGATGTTGACTCTTATGGGCGGCTTCTGTCATCCACAGTTGACAATGCAACTTCGTCATATTGCCTTGTTAGAGCTAGGGCCTCACCTGAAGCAGCTTTTACAGCGATGGATGACGATTCATGGATCCTCCGTTTCTCCTGGTGTTGAGAAGGCATTGAGTTTGATTATGAAAGCTCACGAGTTCTTCGAAAGCAAAAGTGCAGATTTTGCTCCTTCCCAGGAGGGAGAGCAACGTCTCTCCCCTGAGTCTCTTCGAATGTCTGTCGGATAGTGTTTTGTCGCTGACCATTTTGGGAAGTCTCGGAAAGTATCCCTTTTAAGAAGCTAAAATTAGGTGGCTGGCTGTGCCTGGAACCATCAGTACAAGGTGTTCTGAACCCAGAGTTGGCCGAAACCACCTACAGCGCGAGGGGATCATGTGCTGACTGAAGTCTCATCAGAGAGACAGTAGTCCGGCTGCCCGACATCATTGAAGTCAATCCTATCATCGACTGCTACGCGCTTCACCCCGCCACACACCGTGTCCCATGTCAGCACAAAGTCTCCATTGGCGTGGCGTGCCAGGCCCCTCGCAATTTTGGCTATCCTAAGGCCCGGTTATTGTAGCTCCAGGGTGGGATCTCTCGCGCATATGTCACTATTCGTGGTCTATTTCGCGCAGATATAAAACAAAAACACAGAAATACGCATCTACATGTCCACGGCTGTAGATGAAGGTCAGTAAGCCAGGTTAGCATAAAGCACCGAGTCTTGAAAGAATCCACCGCGATATATAGGATGGAATCTGAGATGATACATTGTTGCTCTACTACTCTTCAGTTTGATCTGATATTTGCAGATTAGGTCTAAAGTATTCTATGGGCCCTGAAGAGCAACGGTCTGAAGAATAAGCGCCCAGCAATAGCCTTGATGACAAAAGCATCCAAGGCCTTTAGCAATCGATGCCCTTAAGATCATCCAGTTACTCGACCAATTGTTCGAAGTCACGTTCCGTCTCACCTTCCATTTTTAGCTCCCCCGTAGGCTCAACTAGTTTATCACCCCCTTTATTCTGTTCATACATTCACCACATTCCATGCCTTCGCTTCTGCATTAGTATTATCAATATGACGTCTCCTCCCAAAGGTTTTGACCTAGATGGAACTACCTCGGTCCTTCGAGAAAGACCCCCCGAAGATCCGGAAAAAGAAGCCACCAGCAAGAAGCCTGTGTGTTTTCAGAATCAATTACCTAAAGTAAAACCAAATCCCGTCGATGAGCTAGATCTACACCCCGCAATGACCACGGAGATGATCAGCGTATTCCGACAGAAGGGGACCGACTATCAGTCTTGGATCAATTTCCCAGAAGATACCAACTGCCAAAGACCATGCATCGTTTCGCCATCCACACTACAAATGCAACAGCTGATACACCCCTCCGACGACAGGTATCAATGGGACGCATATTGCAATGAGTGGGTGTGTGCACCCGAAGAAATCGGCGATCCTCGTCCACTCAATATGCCCACTGGACTGGATTACCACAGGCTATTTATTCGCAAACTCGGAGTCGAGAAAGATGGTTCCCTGGGTTGGAACAAATACCACGGACGTGTGGCACACACCGCTATCTTCGCTGACAACAATGTCCGACTCGATGGTCCTCAATGGTCGGAAATCGCTCAGGCTCACTACGAGGTTTTCTTTGATATCGATTCTCTGAAATATATCTTTCGTATGACGGTCGTCAATGAGGAGACACATACTTTTGTGGATAAAGTGCTTTATCCGAGATGTAAGCTTGCGCTTGCTGGAGGTAGTGAAGTGAGGGCATGGCTGTACGATACTGATAATTATCGGGAAATTATGGGGACGTCGTTGGGGAAAGCTGTTGGTGCCCTTGTTTTGGGGGCTTTTCCTAGGGGTACGCGTCGCATCACTCAGATTCTTACTTGGCAGTATGATGGAGACTTGCAGATGAGATTTGATATCTCCCAGCTCCCCATGGACCAACACTAATCGGGCTGGCCTTCGAGATGTATCTGCTCGTGTGTTATTGTTTTCGGTGAATATATTAAGTCCTGACAGTACTGTATAGACTTCCATGTAGCCTCTACTCTCGGCGTTTTCCTTCTCGCGATGGCGCCAGTATTATATATAGTCCAAGTGTTACCAGCTTGTAAAGTCCGGCCAGCCCACCCATAATATCCCTGCACAATACTTCCACGAGTAAAGGTCCCGGGGTCACTACAATGTGAAATATGGACTTCTAGCGAGTCAGAGGGAGGAGTAATCGATATTATAAAGAAAAAACCAGTGCATTTTTTATATTAGATTTTAAACCACACATTGCGCTTTTGATAAAAAGAACATTCTACGGAAATGTACTTCACGGTTAGTCAATTTCTCGGCGGGGATTAGCAAGACCATATGTCGCTGCGCAAGTGTTTATCGCCGGTTGAAGTTCAAGAAGCGAGACTGTATCAAAATCAATTAACATCACAATCACAGATATAGCCCAAGAATAGAGAATATATCCACTTACCGCCAGGAACAATATGATCAGGTTAGACACAATAAATGCAGCGAAGATACCCAGATCCCGCCACCTATTATCAAACGACATACTGAACGTCGCATAGAACTGTTCTCCAATCTTGTACGCACAGTACTTGCAAGCCTGTGCCGCGTCGTCGACAATGTATCCCTTACCACCGCGGTCAAAGAACGGTTTCATGTACTCGCCACAGGTGATATTGTCCGGGGCATTGAAAAGGTTCAACTCCGACTCTGCGCAAACCACATCCCGACCTTGCAGCTCTGTAACAACCATTCCACCGATAAGACGGGTGAATGGATCAAGGTCGTACAGCCATGCACGCCAGAAACCTGGCATCTGCGGCTTGGGGATTGCCACACCGCAGAATAGAGAGAAGATAATCACTATCGGTGGGTTGAGCTGAGACGCGATGAAGCTGTTGGGAGTCAGAGCGGAGATCATCTGGCCCAGAGTCACGGAGAAGATCTCCGTGATGAGGATTATGAAGAATTGGTAGCCGGCTCGACTGGACTCGGTTTGGAATCCTGGGATGTAATACAAAGGGAGGAAGAAGCAGACGGCGCACAGGAGACTGTAGGGCATTTCGGCGAGGACCAGTGACAATGCAAACGCAAACTGGCTGTATGTTTTTGATGCCGATTCTCGATAGAAGATTAGACGTGCCATGTCGTACCGTGGTTGAACCATTTGGAGAATGATAGCTGGGAGGACGGTGACGTTGAAAATGACGAAAATGCGGTATTGCAGTGAGGATCGAGAGTCATCAAGGTTCAAGAACACAAGACCAGTGATGATGGAAATCACAACATGTGTGTAAAGCCTGGTGAAACCATAGTTTTTTGAGCGCCAAAATGATAGATGTGTTCGTCGACCGACTACCTTGATCTGGTGCCAGAGAGGTGAAGCGTACTCTCTATCTACTTTATTCTCGTCATGGTTATCCCGGACTGCCTGAGCACGATCTTCCTTGATCTGGATGATTTCCTCTTTGACTTTGTCTAGTTCAGGAGAAGTGCGCCAAATGTCGCCCCAGTCACGGTCTCCGATGCGGCGTGTCTGGCCAGCGCCGATGGCATCAAGCATCCACTCGGCCGGATTAGCATCCATGGGGCAGTCGGCTCCGTTTCGACGGAAGTAGTCCAGCAGAACCTGGGAATCAGGGCCAATATCACCGTGGTAGATGCATTCACCTCCTCTTTGAAGTAGGAGAAGACGGTCAAAGCTTTCGAAGAGGGCAGAGTTCGGTTGGTGGATGGTGCAGAGAATAGCCTGGCCTGCTGCTGCTAGCTTGCGAAGGAAACGAACAATGTTCCAGGCAGATTGGCCGTCCAGACCAGAGGTAGGCTCGTCCAAAAATAGAAGCAGTTCAGGCTTCGCCGCCAGTTCGACGCCAATTGTGACTCGCTTTCTTTCTTCGACTGAGAGACCAGTTTCAGGTGTGCCTATAATTGCGTCTGCCAGATTCTCTAGTTCCAAGAGAGTGAGGATCTCTTCCACGTAAGCGTACTTTTCAGATCGGGGTGTCTCGAATGGTTGGCGTAGATCCGCGGAGAAACGCAGTGCTTCTCGGACTGTCTGCATGTCCTCGTGAACATCGAGCTGCTCTGCGTAAGATGTACCTCTTTGGAACGAAGTGCCTGGAGGCTTGCCATCGACGAAAATGTCGCCGGTGACAACACCAATGTTCTTTCTTGCTGCCAAAACGTCCAGCAGCGTTGTCTTTCCTGCGCCGGATGCTCCCATGAGTGCCGTCAACTTTCCTGGCTGAACATAACCGTAAACAGAGTTTAGAAGACGTCGGGTGCCGGAGGGCACAGGCACTTCGTAAGAGACATCCTCCCAGGTGAACACGGACTTGGAGGTAATATTGAGGTTTGAACCTTCATCGGACTCAGCAACCTTCGCCTGTCTGTTTGACCTTTTCTGCATCAAAGCCTCGTTTAGCTCTTTCCGCTCTGCGTTCTCTTTCTGGTAGAAAGTGATAGTTTTGCCGCCTGCACCGAATTGAAGCGTTTCTCCAAAATACAAGTTCGAACAGAGGAAACCAATAATCAAAGCAATCATGATGCCAAAGTTTCGCCAAAGATCGCCAGTGAGATAGCTGAAGGATTGAGCAATGTAGTTGGAGCCCGGGATGATTGCCGACCCAGGCTCGCCTCCCGCTAGAGTACACGCCTGGTGCGCAATGTCGCCATAACCAGGTCCAGTTGGAACGAGTGAATCTGTCGTACATGTCAGAGTAAGGTGTCTAAACTCGTTGACCATCAACGCAGCAAATCCAAGACCAAAGGGGTTAATGAAGTAAATCCATCGCAGCCACACCTGAGCGCCAGACCACTGAATAAGATATCCGGACGTCAAAACAAAGAATGTGATAATGACAGATGCGAACTTGATGGCATAATCGAAGTCGGGACATAGGCATCCGACGGTTCGGAAGAACACTGTCATAGTCACGTAACCCTCGAGGATAATCAAGACAAATATAAAGAATGCCCCAGCATCTAGAGCCAGTCCACACATGAAGTACACGATGATACTGAATACGAGAATTCTTGCAATAGCGAACGCAGTGTCCACGATGATCTGCGCAATGAAAAGTGCGCTAGGTCTGTAGAACGTGAATGAGCGGTGCTTATTGACAATTGAGCGGCCCATCATTGTGGCTGCAAGTTCCGAGAATGCTTGGAAACCATTGAACAGCAGACTGATGAACAAAAGTCCTCCTCGAGTAAAAGCACCGGCACTGGTCTTAGGTTGGTTGAGCCATACCGTACCCAAGATGATAGCAATACCAACAGAAGTAACCCAAGAGACGGTCAAAGCAAACTTGTCCTGCCATTTGAGGAGGAACTGCCGTTGCATCAAAGCCCAGGTTTGCAGGTGGAAAGGGATCGAGTATACAGATGATTCAGAAGTAAACTTGCGCTTTGCCTCTTTGTTGGCGATCTCGAAGTCATCGTAGATTTTCTTTTCCTTCTGAATCTGTTCACGGTAGGATTTCATTTCCTGGTCTAGTGTTTCACTAAAGACAGATTTGTCAAAGGCTTCGACTAGTGCTTGTGGTGTGGATGGCACATCGTCGGTACTTCTTCCATCTTTGAACTCCCTTTCAAAAGGATCAGTGCATCCTGTCAAGTAGTCGGGAGTGGTCTGGCGAGGCTTTTCGCGGAAGCCGAGGCCTTCGAAATAGGATCTTGCTTCGGATGCAGGGCCGAAGAATACTTGCCGGCCATTGTCGATCACAAGAACCTTGTCGAACTGTTTATAGATATTCTCAGAGGCTTGGTATAGTGACACGAAAGTTGTCGTTTTGTATATATTGGTCAAAATCCGTAGCGACTTGGCGAAATCGAGGGCAGTTGAAGCATCCAGCCCGCGAGTGCTGTTATCCCAAGCCAATACAGTTGCAGAGGTGATCATCATTTCTGCAATAGACACGCGACGCCGCTCACCTGTTCTAATTAGCCTCAAATCCCATAGAACTGCACAAATAAAACTGATTGCTTACCTCCAGAGACACCACGAATAAACTGATTGCCAATAACAGTGTTGGCAGTGTGCTCAATATTGAACATTTTCAGAAGTAAGTTGGTCACTTTCTCTTTGAACTCGGCTTTCGACACACCGAATGGGCGTTTTCCGGGGGTCTTCGTATCGAGGGCGAATCCAAGGGTTTGTTTCACAGTCAAAGTGGGCTGGTGAACATCATCCTCTTGATTGTACACGGCTTCTCCGCGGAATCTTTTGGAGAACGAATCTGAATCAAAAGGACCATAAAGAACCTCACCATCCACCCCGGTGTATCCAAACCGTTGGTTCGCGATCACTTTGAGAAAAGACGTACAGCCTGACCCAGGACGCCCGAGGACCAAGACCATCTCACCGGGGCGTGTGAGACCCCGGAAACCTTCCAAGATGTTGTACTCTTGGCCTGTCTTTCTCCAACCGAAAAGATCAATGAGTGTTCCAGGTAGATTGAGGAAATCGATGATTGCATCTGGGAATGTTTTGATATATGTCCTGACGCCACCCATTCCACGAACTGTCAGGTTGTCCCAAATCACACCTAGGAATACAGTCAGTACACTTTTGTTCTCTCACGTTGAGTGTCTACCTACCGATATGCTTGTCTTTGATCCCAGCCTCTTCAGAGGCGACACGATCACCACGTAGAGTCGTCTCCAGGTCCCATGAATCATCCGACGCAGTAGAACCCTCAGCTTTCTCGATATCTTTAGTGGTGACTCCCACCTTGGATACTCGTGATTCTTGTCGGGATAGTCTCTGGGCTTGGTGTGAGATACTGGAGAACTGTTTGCTCAGCTCGGAGAAGTCCTTCTCGGCGGTCGTAACATCGACACCCGTCTGGAACGAGGTATCAGCCGGCGTGTTGGCGATACGAATTTCTTCCAGCTGACGTCCATAGCTGTTTGAATCCAAGGTATCCGCATCTGATTTACTGCTGGTTTCCGCCATGGCCAGCTTGTGGTCCGACTCGACGCTAAATGTCATTGAAGATCTTTAGGTGTGGAAGATATTAAGGTGTGCCGAGGGCCGATCCCGTATAAACTCTCCGCCACGTCCACGGGTGCTCCCCGAGAGCGTGTTGTATTGAATTACTTCCTGGAGAGAAAGATAAAAGAAAACAGAAGAAACGTGAAATAGTAACGTTTGAGACCCCTGAAATAAATCGTTTAGAGAGGGAAAAAAGAAGCTAGAAGATAGCGAAGAAGCTAAGCCCGAACAATCCTTGGCTTAAGTCGGGTAGTATCACAACGCCTCCCTGGGGTCCACCAAGCCCCAAAACTAATTTGTTTTAGGCATAATGAAAATAGCGGTGTTCGATATTAGGCTGCGGAAGAAAATTACGTCCAAGCGAAACGCCCCTAAGCCCAAACAAATGTGGGGTCAAGCCTCCAAAGACGGCATATTCCGCGGTGGAGTGACCAAATTTGATGATGCCAAGCAGACGGGCTCCTAAACGGGATTAAAGCGTAAAAGTCCAGGCAGCATGCCTCGTGACGACTCGTGATCCCTGCAGTTATGATTATAAATTCTATCACATTTTGCAGAAGATCTTGTTCTAGAGCAAAGGGAACCGAGCGTTTATCGATCTGGGGTTGTGGAGAAGAGCCAATTAGTGCCCTCCACTTTACGGGGTGTATGTAGCAAGGCAGTATATCAAACATTGATAGATCTTGGATACCTTGAATGGTATATCGATTTTGAGAAAGCTAGCATTCAATATCGCGAGTACAATTCATTTATAGGGGGCACGAAGCATCCGAATATTGCCCTATATTGTATATACATCATAGTTTTCAATGACCATATGCCCTTTAGGGTATCTAGATAGACTTTAGGTACTCCATCCATGTAGCCAGCTTCATAACCTTGAAATATCTTCACAAAGTCAGAAAGTATTGGCAAATTGCAAATTCTTTCTAGGCCAGTTACCTTAGGGCCCACCTGGTTAGGTCCGGGATATCTTCGGGCGAACCTATATCAGTATAGCACGAAGAGACAGAAGGGGCAATGTTTCGAGAACATGACTCATCTATCCTTGGAAGCAGTTTCGAACCCACTTGATATATTCATGGGCAAGACAATATCCATACCTTCATTGGGTACCATTCCACGTGCACGAGATGCGCCTTGCATATTCGGAGGCTCTGGGCCAATCAATGTTGTTAATATATCCGCAAAATTATCCGTAACTATATCGCTCTATGTACTGGATTTTAAGTCGCGCTTTTCCGTAGTTGCCGCTTTTTAAATGTCATATTCACTGAGTGTTTTACAGGACACCCAACTTTGGAGGTAGTCAAGTATCCTGGATGTTCACCTTATGGCCTAAAAGAAAGGGAAATGAAGAGTCAAATCACGTGATAGGTGGATCATATATTATCAATCTGTGGATGCCATGGTGTTAGCGCTAGTAAATAAAAGTCTATTTAATATTGACAATCTTACTGAAATGCTAAACTTTCGATGATGCACATTTCCATACTACAATCATAGATGGTTGTATGGCAATGAGCTTGTTGCAATGGCCCAACAGGACTATATCCGGGCTAGATAGCACGCGACGGGAGGCACAACAAGTGACCCGTGGTGTGAGCCTGCGGTGAAGGGGAAAGTATCATATACAACATGTGGTGGTTATGGGGTGGGGGTTCGAATTGTGAATTGTGAATTGCGAATTGTACATTTCGCGCAGTGGACCGGCATTGAGACCTAGCCAGTATAGTACATATATATGGATACTATTAAGGTTGCCGGTCACTCTTGGTTCATTTGGAGCCTTGGGGGGGGGGGGGGGGGGGGGGGGGGTTAGTAGTATTTGTAGTACCACCCCGAACTTTCTATAGGTTGAGGATTTATAGAAATTACCAGCAATGGGTCATTACCTCCATCTGCCGAGCAAGATTCCTGCCCTGTTGATAATTCATTTCATCAAGATCTCGACAGTCACACTAGTATTATAAGAGAAAATAAAACCACAAGAAACCCATTGCCGATCAGTGGCAGCTGTGGTGTTCCTTTCTGTCGACCTTTCCCAATTGATTCACTTGCTCCCAAGCCGATAATCCGACACAGATCGCAATCCGCCACACCATTCGACGACTGAGTCCCTCGCGCCACACGCCCCAGATCAGGGTCAGAATGGAAATTGCCAGAAATGCGTTCCGGAGTTTCTCTATGCCAGCAGTGGCCACCGAACCCGCAAAGAGAAAGTCTAGGACGGCCTAGAAAGTTAGCCTTTGTATTCAACAGTCTAGTAACGTGGAAAAGAACATACTGGAAGCCAACAACACGAAGACGAAAGCAACGCGGATCCTTCTGGTAGACAGGTAACAACTAATTGAAGGAGTCTTTGTAGAAGGGACCCGTCATGGTCTGGATTAGACTTGAACGAGGCTTTCTCTGAGGGTTTGTCTGAGGAGCAGTCGCTGCATGACATGTTGAATATGTGTTATATGAACAATGATCTGGACGGAAGTGAAATAACTTTCGTTAATGCAGTATCAGTTCAGGGCCACAGTTCTATAGATATATCACTGCGGGATTTTCGCGTCGTCCGAGAAGGCTCCACAACCCCTGGCTTTACCGTGTCAACATTCTCAATGCAAACAAGTCAAACACACGAGGGTTTGGAATTCTTGTATCACTCTCTTTTCTACAGGGCTTTTCTATTATTTGGCAACAGTCCACAAGGGCAAAGAGTAGAAGTTGCAAGACAGTGCTCAGTACGGAGTACCCCGCAATGCGGCTCCGTCAACCACCAATGGCCACCAATAGCCACTAAGAACAACCAATAACAACCAATAATTGCAGCCAAGGCGTTTTTGTTTGGGGGAGGTACTAAACAGTGTAACGGATCTAGAAGGGATCTAGAAGGCGGTATCGGGGTTGTCCATAAAAGATAACCAGTCAGTCAACGTTCAACACACCTATTCTCATCCGTAAAATCAATATCATCCTTTGGCATGTGGGCCCCAATCATCATTTCTTTCGTAACAACAGTTCCACCTACGTAAGTAATACAAGCTTTCTATTGTAGCTTCCAAGATAAAAATGGCCCCGCTCAAGATCATGCTGGATGGCACATCATCCATCTCCCGCTAGCCAGAACAATGTGCCCTCGGGTTTATCGTCAAGGCGACTGGGCCGACACGAGAAAGAGTGTCCAAGGAGGTGACTGAGACACCTAATTAGATCAACCAACTTGTCAAAGAGTTGTCCCCTAAAATGGAGACAGGCGAAACAATTCCCGGCTCGACGGTGGCCTCTTTCTCTTCCAGAACTTCACCAAGCTAAACGAAGTTGTCGGAAAGCCGCTTACTTACTCCAACATCGATATCCAATCCCTCGATTGGTGTCTTACCGAGGCGACACAAAAGGCCCTAAATTCTGAATCCTGCGAGGGGGCAATGCGCAACGCCGTCCAGTCGTTAAACAAGAAGTTCATGCGGTGAAAATCAGGGAGTCAGGGAGCGGATTACAGTACGGAATGAACTATGGGTTGAACTATCCATACGCGGTGAACCAGATGAGGTTGCAGCAAATGCAGCAACAACTGGTGACTCAGTCAAACGCTGGTCCACCACCTAAGGCGCATATGCATCAATGCCCAAGTCCGGATCAACCTGGGACGCCCACCGGAATCACTTGATGATAGTTGCCCGTATCTGGAGGTGTGCATGGTGCAAGGTCAATTTATATATTTACTTGCATGGAGATATGTCACAGCTTCGATTCGTGATTCGTGACCTACAGTGATTATACTGATAATCATACATTATCCCGGGTATGAGGGGATGGATGCACTCCACCCCGAGATTCCCAGAGGTTACTGACCAAGGCAAAGCTCAAAGTGTCTATGCCGAGATTTCCTTAATCTGTGCCTCGAGTTTCTTCATATCACCGCCAACAACGCGGTTGACCTCCTTACCATCCTTGAAGACCACAAAGGTGGGCATAGCGTTGACGCTCAGTTCCCGAGCGACACTCTGTAGCTTGTCCACATCCACCTGGAGGAAACGAACATTTTCGTACTGCTCGCTGAGCTTGCCGACAACGGGGGCGACGGCCTTGCAAGGTCCACACCAAGTTGCGAAGAAGTCGACGACGACGGGGCCAGAGGAGACGAGGGCTTTGAAAATGACTTGGCTGTTGGGCAGATATTAGAATTGAAAGTATTAAGCGCGGAATCAAGAATTACTTACTTATCGATCTCGGTGACTTTTCCGTGAGACATGGTGGCTGCTGGGCTCGAGTTGCGCGACTTAAAGAAGAGACGGATAGCTGATGAGGGGTTAGTTTTAAGTCGTTTTGTTTAGGCTGGATGTGGGCCAAAGGTTTTGTTGGTTGCGGGCAGATATCGCGGGATGTAGTGCGTTTCAGTACTTACCAATGTATATCGCAGTAAGAATTAGGACGGTCTTGAGCTCCATCTTCAGTTGTCATTCCTTTGGTCTTTGGCGGAGCGTCGTGTGATTTGACGTAGCACGTGACCTGGAACTATGCCCTATCTAGAGGTACGCGATCACGACATTTGAGAAGGGATGAGGTTTCAATTAGATCTCAGCTAGGAGTGTCTTACTCTGATTAAGCTACATCTGGGCGTTGCGGCTTCGGCGAGTTTAATGCGACTGCAGCCACCAAATCATGTTATACGTGCTATGTAGTCAACAAAGACAACCAGGGTAATAAAATCAAAAAAAGAGCGAGTCTAGGCCAGCATACCGGGTTATCTTGATTGTATGTTTCAGCCGGTGATGCATCCCTATAATACCCCTCGCAGGGCGTGTCCTAAAGGACTCTCTTTTTTCATTTGGAAATTTCAGGCGCGTGATTTCGTACTCCATTCTTGGGTATAAGGCCTTCGGGTTTATGATGGCACCGAAGCGGGATAAATGACTGTATGCATGGTAAATTCTTTAATATATGATGCTTAATATGTGGGATTTATACTGGTGTCTGCACGGGGCAACCCTAATTATCGTTGATCCTACTAAGTGCCGATGATCCTCGACCTCTTGACTTACCACTTTGAATGCAAAAAACTTGGAAACAATGGAATCTTAGGATATCTTTATTAAATTATACTAATATAGCAAGACGTATGCAGCTATTCAAACACAAGACGATGTCACATAATGTAGACTTGTCTCTTGACCCAACTTGGACCTGACCTATAGGCCGCCTAGCGCGAGGTCTTGAGCTTGGGAATGTTTTTAGTCTGTGAATTCTCTGATTAGCTATGAAATTTTTATTGCAATTGTCATAGTCTAAGCTATTTCTGCTTTTTCCTAGAGGTATTTTAGTGCTGGGAACTACCAAGCCTTCCGCTTGGTGTACATCACGTCTCACATTCTTTCTGATAAGGACTACGTATGGTATGTTTCGGCTTTGGAATGCACCTTCCAGGAGCTCCACGTCAAAGTTCCATATATACTCCGCCTGATAGTGTGTATCTCCATCCTCAATAGCCATGAACTGAACCCAGCAAGCAATACTGTTCTTTTTTTTTTAACTCAAAATCCGCTCGACATGAATTTGCAAGACGCAACTTCCAACATAGAGCCTAAGTCCAGCTCTAATGACACGCCGACCAATGCCACTGCCCGACGTATTGGCACAAATAATGCCCCGAGCACGACCGGGTCCATGTTACGGCTCTCATTATGGGTCTCGTTTTCCGCATGGATCTCGAATTTCGACAATGGCTACGCCGGTACGGTCCTGATCATGCCTTCTTACAAACACGCATTTGGAAGTTGCGAGCAAGTCCTAGACCCGAACACGTATGCCCAAATTCAGCATTGCTCGTTGACGCCACTACAACAATCCATCATCAGCCTCAACTTCTTGTTCATCGCCATTGGAGGCGGGATAGCAGGCGTCACCGGTCAATACATCGGACGCAGGGGGTCAATCCAGGCTGGCTGCGTATTGGCTATCATTGGTGCCGCTGGAATGCTTGGCACTAGTGGCAGCTTCTTGCGCTACATGGTGTGCAGATCGATCAGTGCTGTGGGAATTGGACAGCTGATGGCAGCTAGTGTGACATATGGCTCCGAGTGCATCGTTGCCAACAAGCGCGGGCTATCTTTAGGGTTGTATAATATTGGACTCGCTGGGGGTAATGTTGGTGCTTTCGCCGTGTGTGCGGGTTCCGCTCGCCTGGAGCCAACGAACGATTGGCAATGGAAGACACCCATTCTGTGCCAAATACCCTTGGGAGTTATTCTAGGTGCTGGTATCTTGATGCTCCCTGAATCTCCACGTTGGCTCATGACACATGGCCGAGAGGAAGAGGCACGGAACTCGTTCGGCGCGCTATACCACCAAAATCCATATTCGCCGGAAATTACTGCGCAGATTGATGATATCAGAACGAACCTTGAGAGCGAGCGTGCGAGCCGAAAAGCTGTCTCGTTATTTGATATTTACCGCAGCAAGCATATCGGTCGCACCTTGACATCTGCCATGATTATGGTTGGACTCGCCATTACTGGTATCCAATTTGTTCAACCGTACGCTACACTGTTCCTCAAGGGAGTTGGCATCAGTGACCCATACTTAATTAATGTCATCATTGGTTTATGCATCCTAGGAGGATCATTCTTTGGCCCGTTCATTGTGGAATATGGCGGAAGGAGAGTTGCTATGCTTTGGGGCTATGTTGTCATGGGTGCCTGCATGCTCACTCTTTCTTCCGTGAGCACCGCTCTCAAAAATGATGCAAGAGCCGAGATTGTGACCGTTGTTCTTCTGTGCTTGTGGGCTTTGGTCTTTGGCGGGACTATTGCTGCAAGTGCTAACCTATCTTCCGTGGAGATGCATAGCGTCGCGCTCCGCACCTTCGGACAAGCCAACACAACAGTATTCTATGGTATCTTTGCTTTTGGTGCAACATTTTGGACACCTTATATGTTGGATGCAGATCATGGGAACATGGGTCCTAGTGTGGGCTATTTCTACGCAGGCGTCACTGCCGTCATCTTGGTTTTAACCTTCTTGTTCATGCCAGAGACTGCTGGAATTACACTGGAGCAAATTGATGAAAGCTTTAATTCAGGAGTCAAGGCGTGGAAAACGTCACTACCCAAAAATAAAGCTATTGCTTCGTCTCCGCAACGGGACGTGGCAGGTGGAAAGGTTGAAGCTTGATGAATGACACCGAGCCATGGTCAATTAGCCGTGGATGTCAATTAGATATAATATATATATTATAGTACATAGTGCAAGTCTATCAGGTATCATCAGCAAAATAGAGTGTATAAAACTTGCAACAGGAACCTCAAATATATAGGGAATAATACAAGAGTGCAGACAAGTCAATGTAGAGAAGCCGTGCATCATACATATATGCCTTGAACCACAATTATGATATAGCATCGTTCACGTGACCTTCTGGCCCTAAGAATACGCCCTTGTAAGAAACGCTAAGATGAATTGAATGTCACCAATATGAAACGAGAATAGTCTGGTTCAATGAGTCTGCGGACCGGGACTAAAATACGCCGTAGCTCACGGTGCTCGGGACATGGAGAAATTGGCAACAGACTTCGCTAGATGCGCGCTGGCACATTTTTAGCTAAAGATATACCAATTAAAGGGCTCTTAACTGCTGAGACTTATGACAATGACTTTATTAGCGATCAAAAAAAACGGAAATGACATTGTATTGATGGCGGTTGAATCTTTTAAAATGAGACTATCAAACTTCAATTATGCCGACATAAGCGTTATGCTATGTTGACTTTACTCGATCACCACTGCCTCGTTTGTGCTCTTTCCACATACAAACAAAACCTTTAAATTCTCTTCTCTTATTCCTCTTCTTCAATTCTTTCTTTCCTCTTACAATCACCGCGGACACTTATTCAGTCAGAAAAACGCATACTTTTGATCTGAACGAAAAACACACAGTGAGTTGATGACATTTCCTTGGGAGAGACCCAATGATCTGTTAACAATACCTTCTTTTAGCCTTAAACCTCAGTCCTCTAACCTATTATTACTATCACTCCTGCTCCTTCCACGGCTATCATGTCGTTCTTTTCCAACCCCCGTCGTGGCGGCCGGCAAGATGCCGAGCGTGAAATAATTTCTGTACCGCGCACCCAAGCTACCAATTTGCCCAAGGAGTCTCCTGCAACTCTTCTAAACATCCCCAAGCTCAAGCCAGAGTCTAGCCTTACTGTTTGGGGAAATGAGATCTTTCATGTCTTGCGACCCTTCAAGCTTGATGCACTCGTGAACGTTGATCTTCCGAGACCCCACCCAGGAGAACTCAACTACAACCGATGGAAGTTCTGGACTCTTGTTGTTGCTGGTTGGCTGTTTAACCAAATTGAGGCCGCACTTCAGCTCAAAGTCAAAGCACATTCAAACGACCTCACCTACGCCGACGAAATCTTCAACACAATCAAGCTGTTGAGCCTGCACAGCCACTCCAAGTTCGTTGCGAGCGAGTTGAAGAGATGGGAGGAACTCAATCACAGGAGGTTTGCTACCCCTGCGGACTTCATCATGGCGTACCAGAACCAATTCAATCGTCTGAAGACAGAGGGCGACGATCCCTCTTGCGACTTTGCGCTTCGTCGACTTCTGCAAGAGCTGCATGGAGAGATCTTGAAGGTCCCATTCATCGAGGAAGAGGTGAATAATCTGGGACGGCCGGTGGACTATCAGTTGTTCGTCCACTACTGCAAAGTCTTGGTAAACGAATCCCGCAAGCCCAGCGTCTCGCTCGCTGAATATGACACCCTCGGAATTGATGGCGACTTGGCAGACCAAAGCCAAAGCAGTGGACGAGACATCTCCTACCGTGGCTGGAGACGGAGCACCAAGGGACACGGCCCAGCATGGGAGTAGGTATTTTGCTTTTTGCACTTCCCGGACCTTGGAACTAATAAGGTCATGGAAATGGGCGCCTGCAATTGAGGATTTTACAAATTTCACATCAGAAAAAAGAAAAAAGAAAACGGTCATTGCTACAGGTTCCTGTCAGCATTTACACAGGGCATGGCAATGCAAACGATTCTACCTCATAATTTCCATTCCGTAAGATCACCATAATCAGGATTCCATTGCTCCCGTCGGCAATATTTGAATATATCGTACGAAAGCAGTACAGGGTAAGGCACTAAGGCAAAAAGGAAAATCATCAAATTTAAACAAAATAATGTATCCGGTTGTTCTGAGAGTATGCACTGTGGCCCAATTATTGAATCGGTCATGATGGCCTGCATGGCGGGGATTTAACGCGCAGTTGTGGGTTCTGTTTAAGCCCACGCCCTTTCACCCTAGCAACAACACACGACTGGCGACAATGACAGGGAAAGTGACGATAGAGGAAAGCACTGACAAGGAAGATGCCAGTGGGTGATTTCCTGCTGACGCTAACCTCGATGCAGACGAATACGAGGCTGAGGCTGAGGCTGATGCTGACGCTCAGGTGCCCAACCACGCTGACAAAGATGTCAATGAATCACCTAGGGATTTGGGTGATTTGGAAGGACGCTGCTCTCCAAATATTTTGAATCACAACTGATCCGGAAACTACGAGGCCTCAAATATATCAAGATGATTGAAATACAACCGAAAGGGATCTTGGTCAGACCAACAGTAACGTTCGTGACGATCAGGCCAAAACCGGAATTAAAGAGCACGTCGGACACGAAAACGAAGAGCAAACCAGAGACGAAGACCAAGCCAGTGGGGAAGAGCACGTTGGAAACGAAGATGAAGAGCAAACCAAAGACGAACTCCAAGCTGGAGACAAAGCCTCAGCCGGAGACCAAATCCAAGCCGGAGACGAAGAGCAAACTAGACACGAAGAGTAACGCAAAGCTAGATGCAAAGAGCAACGCCAAACCGCAGGCAAAGACGAGACCAGAGACAAAGGCCAAGCTAGAGACGAAGAGCAAGGCAAAGCCAGACGCAAATCCCAAGCCAGAGGCAAAGAGCAAAGTTGAACCGGAGATAAAGGCGAACCCAAAGACAGGAGCGAAGGCCAACCTAAAACCAGAGGCAAAGAACACGCCAGACGGCACGAAGACGAAGAGCCAGCCAGACACAAAGACCAAGCCAGACGCAAAAAGTAAACCCAAGCTAGAAGCGAAGACCAACCTAAAGCCAGAATCGAAGACTAAGAGCAAACCAGAAGCAAAGAAACCAGAAACAAAGACGAAAGCAAAGCCAGAAACGAAGGGAAAAGTCGAGCCGAAGAAAAAGACCAACTCAGCGAGGAACGCAACAATTAATCTGGAGACCACTACAAAGATCCAGCTGGGTGCTAGGAGATACTAGCGCCAATACCTCCAATACAGGGGAGGAAATGAGGCTGGTTACAATGGAAGTGACGCCAAGTATTGAGCTGATGATTGTTCCAAAGAAGACTAAGAAGAAACTGGCCGTAAAGAAAGTCAATTTACTTCATAAATATCCGATGAGAAAGAGACACTCATGCGGCCGACTATTCTTGTTCTTTGTGCTTGAAATATTCCATTAGTTACGGTTTATCCTCGAGCACAAGCAAATACTATTTTTTTCTTTTTTCTGTTTTTGTTTTTTCGTTTAGTGTCACGAATGTAAAGAAGGACGGTCAGGCATATCCTAAATTCAATATGTAAATCACATAGCATTGGCTCGAGATATTCACAGAGAAACCCAAATGGGCAAAGAAAAGAAGTAGCCGGCACGCTCAGATGAACAATCAGCAAGAATGGTAAGGAAAAATCGAAGCCGGTAGCTCGTAGACCGGTAGAGACAAGATAGTTGGCGCTCATGTACATGCAAGGAAAGGCCGCCAGGGTGTATCGAAGAACACGGCAGGGGAAAATTTGGATAACGACTGTAGGGTTTTCAGAATGAATGTGAGGGACAAATATCGACAGCAAGGGAACAGCTCTGCTTGTTCCCATAACTCCAGGATAACACCCTGATGAATGGTTGAGAATAAAACAAGTTGTAAAAACAAGAAAAGAAAATTTTGTGTGGTTGGGAAAGAACTTCTCTCGGGAGACAAGTGTAGAAAGGAGAGAATAGGGAGAGAGAGCGTGGTTGGTTTTTATGTGCAAGGAGGGACAACCATTGACGTCTATCACAACTCGGACTTGGCTGGTTCTTCGACTTCCCATTGGGCTTTGCGTTTGCCCATCATCTCCTCAAGGATGTCGAGACGTTGGCGTGTAGTACGGAGGGCATGGTCCATCTCACGGTCAGAGATTTTCTCTTCGCGAAGCCGTGCAGCGAGCTCATGCTCATCACTGGTACTAACTCCAGATGACCTGCGACTTGGGTGTGGCTCGGGCGATCGGTAAACGTTCGGAAAGACCATTCCGTCCATACCAACTCGGTCTTCAAGCCAGTTCCAGAGCTCAGTCTCTTCACGTCGCCACATCTCCTCGTATGCAGCCAGTCTCTGAGGCAAACTGTGGCCGGGACATCCGACTTCATGAGAAGGCATGGATGGAGATGACGAGGATCGGAAGAACGCCATGTAAAACAAGATTCCGATAATTAGGATAGCAACGTTGCTGCTCCATAGCGGGCTGAGAATGTTGGTAAAGGGCTCTAGGAGGGAGCGGACTGGTTCGAATAGTCCCCATGATTCTCCCTTTCCGGCGTTGGGATCCACAGTAACCTTCAACGAAGCAGCTGCGACCGACTCCTGCGCTGCGCCATCGCCCTTCTTGCGCTTTCCTTTGCCTCGTCCGGCGCCATTGGTGCGCCCGCGGGGAACAACTCCAACCTGCAGGGCTTTGACCAGCTCATTACCGAAGGCCGTTTGCCCGTCAATTGCGCCTTTCTCAATAGGGCCCTTTAGCCAACTCTTGCCTGACCATTCAATAGTACAGGTCATGAGGAAACGAGTTTGGTTGCCAGGAGCCCATGTAAAAAGGTACTTGGTCATGGTAGCAAAAACGTTGCCACTGGGCACATCAGGTGTTTGGGTGCTCAGAGTGACAAGAACGGCCTTTTCGAGGTCTAATAAGTCCATGGTCTCGGTACTGATGCATTTCGTCTGCTTCGGACCAATGGGGGCATTGAGAGGTTTGATGTATGAGTACTTCCTGGTTGGGGATTCGGTCGTTAAACCCTTCGCTGTTCCCTCGAACTGTAGCTCTCCACATTTTTGATTGTCGACAAGGAACTTGGTCATAAAATCGCTGGACGCTGGGCCAAAAACCAAAGAGAAGACCTTACCGAGCGGTGCCGGAATTGTTTCATCTTTGATGACTTTTTCATACTGTCCGTTGGCGTCGACGTATTCGGTGGGTGCATGGGTAGCCGGGCCTGGGAAATCAGCAGGCGCATCCTTGGAAGTGCCTTTGTCGCCGTTCTTTTTATCGCCATTTCCATTTGTGCCGGCCACTGGCACAGCTGCATTTGCGGATAGACTCGAAGCCTTGCGGCTTAATCCCTTTCGCACTGGCAATGATGCTGCACTGGCGTTGGCACTGTCACCAGCCTCAAAGAAGCTATCGGCATGGTCTCCCTCCTCGTCCTCATCGTATATTTCATCTTCGTCCGTGGCATCGCTCCCAGACTCGCTCTCATCCTCCTCTTCCTCTCCAACCTTCTCTGTCTTATCACCGGTTCCATTGGTTACACGGGTTCCGTTCACAGAGCTCTTGATGGTGGGGTGGTTGATCTTCCAAATATTAACCATTAGGTCATATGTGGACTCGCGACTGAGCAAACTGCGGAAAGTGTGACGCGCGTGGAGTGTCTGAATGGCAATAGCATTGGGGAAGACCATGGCTGTGCTCTCCTTTTCGATAGCAACAACCTCATCGAAGCTGATCACTAGAGTCGTGACCCATCCCAGAATGTTACTAGAGAAACAGATGTGCCCTTCTGAGATGTATATGCGGCCGGCAAGAATGATCTCACGTTGCAAAGCACAGCTGTAATCCTCGATAAGATAATCATCTTCGGGTACGCTTCGGAACAGTTGGTGAAAGTCCCGATTGCGCTTTTTACTCGCAACTGCGAAGCCAGTCAACCGAGGTACACTGGAATTGACACCAGGAGCACCAAGTGCAACGGCATTCATGCCAATCGCTCCGATTGTCGAGGTTGTGGCCCCAGACGAGCCCCGATGGCGCCGGGCAAGTCTACTGCGCACACTACCTGTGCGTCTAAGGCCCCCACTCAGGTCACCATCAATCACACTACCACTGGGGGGAGTTTGATCACCCATAATTGGGCCATCTTTCGGAAGTGAGGTGGTAGAGTGAATCTCCAGGGCTTCGTCTGTGGGGCCCGCCAATGAAACATCGGAGGGCCTTGCGTATGCTACTTGAACAGCGCGCGCAGCGCGTTTATCTTCCAGTTTGGCAGCTTCCTCGTCTCGCCGGGAAACAGCTGTGTTTTTGCGCTTGTCAGTTGGGTTCCCTGGTTTTGTAATCACCACGCCGTCGGCAGTCGTGATTGACTCACCGGGTCGTGCGTCCATGTCCAGATGGCTGAAGCTCAGGTCGCCTGCCCCCAGAGTCTCTACGGCAGATGGTCTCCCTTCCGCAATCTTGCTGCCGTTGTCTGATGTTCTTTCGCCGTCCTCCGAAGTCGATTCATTGACAGATTTATCAGAATCAGCAGGAACAGGTTGGGTAATTAGACGATTTTTCTGTTGTGCGTTGATAGTGTTGCTGAAGGAAGTGGCGGCGTTTTGTGCCACTGAAAACACCGAGGAGAAGAAGCCGCTTTGCTGGGTTGAAGGCACATTCTTCGCCCCGGGAGTCTTTTCTTCAAGAGGTGTCAGTGCAGACACCGAGTTGGACAATTTGCTTGGCCCATGAGCTGCAGAAGCGGACCGCACCCGGCGGTGGGAGATCATGTTTCCAGAGGGGCTCACGGTAGTGACTCCGGAAGATGGAGAATTTTCAGATTGTAGAGACTCGGGCGAATCGGTTACATTGTTAGACAAGATTTGCGCACTGAGAGGGCGGTACTCGGTCGGTGTTGGAGGGGTTACAGTTGTCGCTGGCGCAGGAATGGCGGTATGAGGTGGGGTGTTCGGCATGGGGCTCGCTTCAAGCGAACGAGGCTTGTCATCCATTAGATCAGTACGAATTGGCGCAGGTACAGGCGGGACATCGCCGGGGGCTGCTTGTGCTCGTTTCGATGATAGACTGCTCCGCCGGCTGCCTCCGAACAGACCCCGCCCACTCTTGTTGCCCCCGGACTTAATTGATGAATCCTCAGTGTCCTCATTGGCGCTTTTCTTGTCCGAGCTGAAAAAGCGCCTTCCAGGGGATGTTCCGCGTTTCTTGCCATTTGCGTCCGTGGGGACATCCAATGCCATGCCCGATGTTGCGCGTCGGGACATTCTTTCGCCTGGGTTTGATTCTGAGCCAGTGGCACTCAGACTGCTAACAGCTGATTCGTCATCGACATGAGAGTCTTTCGTGTTCATGGCATCTACAGATTTGGTCTTAAACAATGGGGAGGACGAGGTGTAGAATCCGGCATGGGAGCTATGCGAGGTGAGCGGCGGAGGCCTAAATGAAGCTCGGCTGATTAGGAGTAGTCCAAAATAATAAGGTTAGTTGCTCAACTTACCCGTCTGGCTCTTCATCATCAGTCAACAGACTATTGCCTTCGCCCTCCAGCGGAAAGCTCTCTCCGTTCGACGACGGGGCTGCGGAGGTCCCATCCCGAGAGTGATTGGATCGGCTTTCATGTAGGTCGTTTTCCAAAACCACAGAGGGCACCGGCGGCTCGTCGGATTGTTTCTGATTCTTCTTTTTATTCTCTTTCCGCCTCCGGCGCGCCTCGAGTAGCTTTGAGAATCCGCTAGGACCAGCCTTGGGATCTACTATTTCTCCGCCCTGGGTTTTCGGTCTCTCGAGGGTGGAATCGTGGGATGAGCGACCATTGCTCTCGAGTGCACTTGATTCTGCAGATACTGTCCAGGAACGGCGCGATCTGCTTTCGCCTCTCAAGCTTGAAGACGAAGAGTCGGGCATAATTGAAGGAATGTAGAGGGAATGGGAATCGGGGGGTTGGTGCGGGTAGACCGGGCGACTCAAGGGGAAGTTGTCATGAGGTGTGTATATTGAAGATTTTCTCTCTCTCTTCTTTTTGGGTAAGAGAAGTTCCGTACATTGACGGAGAGACAACGTGAAGAGAGAGAGAGACGTGTTGGATTGTCCGAACATCCCCTGGAGCTCCGCAACTTAGTCACCCGCCAAGTTACGACGTAGGCCTGAAACTTGAGACTGTTCTTTGCTGTTCTTTGCTGTTCAATTGATTTTGATATTCCTGATTTATATCATTTTATGTCACTGGTAATATGTTTTCTGGTGTCTTTTCTGTTCTTGCTATTTCCCTAATCCCCCGATTACTTGAACAAGGTGACAGTATAGCTATAAGCATCTAATGCTTCAGCTCCGCTCTTCTCCACTGTTTAGAATGTGGATGTGACTTGACGTTTTCGCTGCTTTCGGTCTGATTAGTTGCATATTGTAGAATCTAATATGTGTTCTAGTAAGTCAAGGTAGGAGAATTGCTTCGTTTTCAAGGGTTCTCCGATGTAAATGTATCTGGCGTACGCTCGTGCGACTGTCGAGTCCAACCCCATTCTCTTCGCATAACGTCACTTCTCCAACATTCCCCGGATAAATCCCAAAGGAATGCACCCCTTTCTCTCTGAACTCTCTGAACTCCTACAGGTGAACTTATTTTCGCCATGGAAGTAGCTCCTTTAGCCCTGGTAAGACCTCAACCCCTCATTTTCTAGGATATTCTGACCGCATCCAGGCCCACACTCATGCGCGGAACGCCGTGCTAGAAACTCGCAAGGCCAACCCAGTCGCTGCCAGCGAGGAGCATGATCTAGCTGCTGGTGAATTTGCAACGGCTGCACAGAACAGCTCCGACCATGAGGTAAGTCTTGATTGAGTAGAAGATCTACCCCCGCTCGGTTCTGAGCTAACGCGTCATAGGCCCTACGGACCTTACGTTTGCTCGAAACTCACCACAAGAAGCTGGCCGAGATCCTCCGGTTCCAGCATGAACATCCAACCGCCCTCCCTGTTGAAACGGCATCTGCTACTGCCTCCTCCACATTAGCGACCCAGCAGACCGCAGCCGAATTCGGGGGCACAAAGGACGCAAGCGCGAACCAGGATGCACACCTACCACCAAGATTGGTGGGTAATACTCGTCTACCAAGTCGGGATACATCCTCTATCGCTAGTAACTTAGCATCCGCCCGGGGGATCCCGTCGCACCCCCGGCGTGGATCGCCAGTGTCACCAACCCTTACATCGCAACATGTCGCAGCAAAAATGACCGAACCCTCACCCAGGGCTAAAGCCGGCGAAACAAGGCTACGTGACGGACCAGCCAAAAATCGACATAGTCGTGCTTTGGCACCTAGACAACCATGGTCTCCTCCGACACCCAGTTCCACTGAGGTGGCTTCCAAACAAACCGTACCCCCCAATGCAGCTGAATCCGGAGCATCGAGGGATAAGCCTGCAATTGCCGATGAAGCATTCAACCGTTTATACTCAGCCTTCGGGGGGCTAGTCTCTAAGGTGTCTGGGCCTTTGGCATTCGCAGGGATCCAAATGGGGTCTACCGATCCTGTCCGCGCTGAACAAAGCCGCAAGTCCTCAGCTGAGGTGAAACTGGATCGTGAGCATGCTGTTCTAGATCGCTCCCTGACTGCGGGTGAACCCGACGTGAACAAACTGTTCTCTCGAGCCGCATTGCGGTCGATTCGGGACGGCTCTGGGGCAGGTCCCGGGAACCCAGCAGAGTCATTCTATGTCGTCCCAACCACGGGCGGGACTATGTCATACGCAGGAATCCTCACCCGAGCTGAAAGGCAAGCACGCAGGAACAGCCTCGAGGATGGTGAGGATGACTTTGTGGATGCACGAGAGACCCCCTCGTCTCCTGAAATGCGTCACAGTGCCAGCGGTTCGCGCATATGGGCGGGTCGACGCGGCGCACCCGATAAGCTTACCACCCCGCAGACACAGAAGACAATGGAGGAGATGCAGGTGGAGAATGAGACATTGAGGGGCTTGACCGATTCGCTTGCAACACGGTTGCATATGTGGGAGGTGAGCGCACAATCTTCGTCGATGGCACTGCAACAATCAATCCGGATGATGCACCGCCAAAGCGGGGGGACGCCTGATTATTTACAGCCTTCAACGGCCACTACCTCGCCTGTTGCTACGCTGACTGCGCCGCCGCCTGCGGCTGATACTGACGCTCGGATCAAAGAACTCGAGGAGCAGATCCAGCGTAGTGAGAAGAAACTTGAAGCTGCTTCTCACGAGAATGACAAGCTCAAAAATGTTCTTGGACGATACCGGGACCGCTGGGAGAAATTGAAAGAGGGTGCCAAAACTCGGAGAGCAGAGGGTCGCTCCGGGGATAGTCAGAGCAATCCGCCTGCGAGTGGCGCTAGCAAGCCGTCGGAAATCTCGTCACCTCCAGATCCTGGTCGAAGTTCCTCTACTGGTCAAGCAGCCTCTCGTGCTACAGGTGATAGCCCGGCATAATCTCGCAACATCCATCCTCGGTCGTTGGATGCAGCGTTCGGTCCTCTAAGGCTTGATCCCTTTTGTATGAGATATCCCCATGACACTATTTATGATGTTTCGGATCCAATCGATTATTATCCCTATTTATTTCCTCTGAATGGTTTAGTAATTACTAGACTTCTCATCTAATCCTAGCCAAATGGAATTATCCGGAGGAAATAGGGGCTAGACAGAAGAAGAGACGATTAGTATATAGTATGCATGTTGCCAAAAAGCTGTCTAGTCGTTGACAAGTTGAATAATCACATGAAAAGAGAAGCCCTAGGACAATGCGACTGGATATCCATTTTCACATATCACGCAAGATATATACAACCAGTGATCTAACATACCAAACAACAAACACATCAGACTATGTACTAGTTAAGAAGTAATTTTCCTCCAACATAAACCTTTCCACGATCACCGAACAATAAACGTAGCGTTACCACGAATATCCTCAGAGCTGCTACCCACAAGGACAGTGAAGCGACCAGGCTCAACAACATACTTCATCCGGGTATTCCAAAGACCAATATCCTCAACCTTAATCGGGATCTTTACAGTCGTAGTCTTCCCAGCAGGAATAACCACCTTCTTGAACCCCTTAAGCTGACGATTAGGAACAACAACAGAAGCAATCTCATCCTTGATATAAACCTGCACAACCTCCGTACCCTCACGAGTAGCATGGGTATTTGTCACATCAACACTGACAGTAACAGTCTTCTCAGAAGCAGAGATCTTGCTCTTGTCGAGCTTAACAGTTCCATACTTGAAGGTAGAATAACTCTTGCCATAGCCGAAGGGGTACCATGGCGAGGCGTCACCGAGAACATATGAGTGGCCGAATACGAGAGTTCCGTTCTCATACTTGTGGCCTACGTCGCCCATGGCGCGTCCGGAGTTGAGGTAGTCGTAGAAAATGGGGAGATCGCCCACGTAGCGGGGGAAACTGACGGATAACTTGCCGGAAGGGTTGTAGTCGCCGAAGAGGACGTCGGCGAGGGCGTTACCACCCTCCTCGGATGGGTAGAACTGTTGCACGAGGGCAGCGGTTGAGTTTGAGATCCAGGTGTCTGTAATCGGCTTGCCGCTTGATAGAACGACGATTGTTGGTACGCCGGTTTCGGCAATGGCTTTGATAAGAGGTCCTTGGGCGCCGACGAGGGATAGATCGTCTGTATCAACGTGTTCGCCGGTTCTTTGGGCCTGTTAGTACTTACACTTGTAGATACATCTTAATAAGAGTGGTTTACTCACGTTGCGTTCACTCCTGACCAGATTTCCTTTTGATCGCGCGACCAGGTTCCGACAATGACGACAGCCACGTCGGACTTCTTTGCAGCCTCGATTGCCTCATCAAAGCCTGATTGGTTATTGCTCCAACGCTCGCATCCCTGGGCATAGTTGACTTGGGCATTGTCCTCAACTGCGGCCTTGATACCATCGAGGGGAGTCACACCCCGGTACTGACTCTTGTAGACAACGTAGTCACCGTACTATGAGCGTCATTGGTATATATACGCGAATAACAAGCGAAATAAGAATGCTGACTTACATTCATGTAACCATGAGCCATAGGCCCAATGACGGCAATGTTACTCGACTTCTTCAGAGGCAGAATATCATCGTGATTCTCAAGCAGAATGATAGACTCCTTATCTAAGTCTCTCGCAATCTTCACAGCCTCGGGGCCGTTAATGAGCTTATGCCATTCGTTCTGAGGTGCGGCAGGGTACGGGTTCTCAAAGAGGCCCATTTCGAACTTGGCCCGAAGCAACCTAGAGACAGCAGTGTCCACAACATTAATATCGAGTTTGCCGGACTTGACAAGCTCGGGAATTTTCTGGAAGTTGCTATTCGGTAGTCAGTATCTGTTTCTGTGTCGTGCGGGTTTCAATGGAGCTTACAATGAGCCACCTCCCATCTCAACATCCGTTCCAGCATTCAGCAGCTGCGTGGTGACCGCTTCCATGTCGATGGGATCGCTCTCGCAAAGGTGGAAGTAGGAGCACACTCTGTCACTTCCACCGGCGTCGGTCATGACGAAGTATTCATATCCCCATTCCTCTCTCAGGATCTCGGTGAGAGTGTGGTAGTCGGAGACTGCGGGAATTCCGTCATATCTAGAAACGTATATTAAAATGATAATATCAGACAAAAGGGACCACGCTAGACTTACGAGTGGTACGCTGCCATGATAGACCAAGCACCGGCATCGATGATAGCTCGCTTGAAAGGAGGCAGCCACCTGTGACATGGTCAGTCAACTGTTTAGTCTCCCAACTTGGGGCTGACATACGTTGTGCGCAACTCTCTTTCACCGCCGTGGACCGGGCCAGTATTGAGTCCCTGCTCGGGGGCGCTGAAGCCCGCAAAGTGCTTGACCATAGCAGACACATTCTTGCCCTGTACACCCTTGACGTAGCTATAACCAATTTCGCCGGCGAGGAAAGGATCCTCGGAGAAGGTTTCTTCGACCTTTTGTCTCTATTGTTAGCTTCGTTGCGCCGAATATGTTAACATAGAGATGAAGCTCACCCGACCAAACCGAGGCTCACGAGCGAGATCAACAACGGGGGCGAAGAGCTGATTAACACCAAGTGCTGAGGCTTCTTGTGCGGTGATTTCCGCCATTTTTTCGATAAGCTGCACAATATCGTGTTAGACCTCAACAACAGTATGGATGAAAGTATATTTATAATAGCCACTTACATCTGTGTTCCACGAGGATCCATAGGCAATGGGTGAGTTGAATATAGTGGCATTACCAATCAAGAATCCGTGGATACCTGGCGCAAGAAATGTCATGAGTCTGGGATCCAATATAGCTAGAGACTGTAGGCCGTTTTGTACATACCCTCAGACTGAACAATTGCAGGAATTCCCAGAGTGGTATTGTGGAGGAGATAGTCCTGGGCTCTCTTGACGTTCTCCGAGATCCAATCCCAAGGAACAGGGTATCCGACTGCAAGCCGTTAGTATTTGTGTTTCTGTGGATTTATGAAAAAGGATCGAACAGCTAAATAGAGGACTTCATACCATAGAACATGCCTGACCTCTCGGCCATTTGCTCTACCAGGCCGGTATAGTTGAATGCTCCTGTAGTTTCATTCATCCATTTCCCCATATCACCTGCACAAGAGCCAATCAGCGATTAGACCTACGGCGGCGATTGAGATAAATCCTTACCCTGAGTCAACTGAGACCTCTTGTCCTCAATGGTCATCCGGCTCAGCAAGTCCTTCACTCTCTTTTCCACTGGAGCATGGGGATCCTTGTAGAGAGGGCTGGAGGTTGGTTTTCCCAAAGCTATGGCAGCAAAGAGCTGCACGAGCAGCAGTCCATTGGAAAATAGATTGGCCACCATTTCGAGAAGACAACAACTTCTTTCCCAAACGAATTAGAATGAAGAAGAAATTCCTGGGGAAGCTCGTCATATAAGGTCACGCTGACCCGCAATTAAATCCCTTGCACTGTGGAGACAGGCGATTCATGGTGCAGGCGAGTCGCATCATTACATGTGAGAAAGGCACGAGGTCATACCATTTTGCGGAGGAAATGAAGCCGAAACCTTCAAACGGAATCAAGTTGGTCTCAACGGTTCCAGTAGTGCCCTACTTGGCATCGTTTGAACCAAGCTAGCGCTATCAGGAGACGGAGCATCCCCCGCTTCCACATTGCCATGGGAATCTTATGGGGTATATAAAGTAGCCGGATAAATCACGGTCTCGAGTACCGGCTAAAGTAGTCAAAGTTATAGTCAACCCTATTGCCACAGCAAAATCCCTACTTGCACAGGTGCCGAACCCCCCGTGAGGATAATACCCCTTGGCAGTTCATTTTCAATACAAGTGCCATTTTACTATGGTATCACCATAGTAAAACCACCAGAGTCACATACTAGTACATAGTACAACTACTCGAATTCTCAGTTTAGAAATTCAATTTTATTGCCTGAAGAACAGACAATGACATTCAATTACAACTTCATAACTATCTTCGTGCGTATCAGACGCCGAAATAATGATCGCGTTAATTATAGGACATCAATGATGTAAACATGAGTGGAGTAACTAGTGGATGTCTCATTCCCATTACCATTTTGTTGGTCCAAAGGTTTGACCCTCAGGCAAGACAACTTGGACAGCAGTGCCTTGAGCATCCAAGGTCGCGAGAGCCTTGGTGTTACCCCACCAGCTGGGGAAAGATGAGTTGCTCAGACTGATAGCGAAGAGCATCACGATCAGACACAACGCAGTACCGACATCCAAGCCAGCGGAGATAACATAGTTGTACTCCATCCACCAACCACGCCAGCGGTTGCGAATGAACTTGTTGAACACGAAACCAACGCTACCCCACATAAGATATGTGAGGGGAGTAGCAGGGGGAATCATGCCTGTACCGCTGAAAATCAGGGGAGCGTTCAAGAACTTGGCACCGCTCTTGGGCCATTTGCGAGCAACAACCCAGATAATAGCAGGCAGGGCGAAACCGGCAAGCCAGAACCACTGGAGGCTAGCGTACATCTGGCCAATGGAGAACATGCGCTTGGGACCGATGACACCCCAGATGATTGAGGCGTTGAAGAAGACGCGGCCGTTGGGGCAGGTGTAGTGGTTTGCTTGGTCGTGGGCGCAAATATTGCTAATGCTACCAAACGCCCAGTTCAGCACTGCTACCTGCACGACTGAAGACCAGATACAGGCAGCCATCTGTGCCCAGAAGGTGACACGAGGAGGGATCTTCATATAGTGACCTATAATCATGTTAGGTTTGTAAAACATAAGGTGGAGGTCGTGGGATTCGAAGGGGTCTTACCAAGCTTCATATCTTGACAGAAATACAACGCCTGAGACATTGAAATATAACCATATGTCTTGAAAAGCATCATGGCCATGGGCTTACCAGGCTGAATGTAACCGACGATAAATTCAGTAATAACGTTCAGACCAAGCTGAATATTCGTGGTAGCCTGGATCATGCCGATGGGTAGGGTCCAGAACATCGCAATGAGGAGAGAGACGAAGAACGCCCACCAGGAAAGATGGGTGGGATAGGAAAGCACGACTGCCAATCCAATAACAGTCATGATAACAAGAACGATGAAATACCACCAGATAGGCACGGTCTCATACTTGGCCATCAGGCGAGAGTGAATATCCTCGTGCTTGGTGCCAGCCTCACGCATGCGGCGATAGATCTCCTTCCCGTGGAAGAGGGCAACGTGGACAACAACAGCGGCCAGACCAGCAAAGGACAGACCGTAACATAGGGCGAATGTGGTGGACAGGAAAAGAGGGGAGTAGTCGTTATATTTTGCCACATCGAAGGTGTACTCGGAGGTCAGAATACGAGTGACGTTATACACCGTGCCAGTGTTGTCGTAGCTGTTCGAGTCGGACATAGGCAGGAATTTTCCGTAGAAGATATTGGAAAAGTGCAGTGCCGGAGTGACGACCCAGAACCAGGCGACCAGACCAATAAGGGTGTTGGCAATGGCAAACCAGGGGGACATCATAGGACTGGTCACATAACCTGAGATAATGGACCAATCGAAAGAGATGGGGATCAGCGAGATACCGGTAGAACCGCCGAACAGTTGGTTGATAACGACGTGGTTTGGTTTGATCCAAGTGACAAATGCAAACACACTCAGGAAGGGGGCGATCAGACCCGGGAACCAATACCAGCAGAAGGCACCGGTCATGACATAGATGAACAAGCGGTACCGGTTGATGGTCCAGCCGGCCGTCCTAGCGGGGTCTGGTTTGCTTAGTCCACGATCGTGCATAGCTGTGAATAGAGTTGTGTTGACCAGGTTGGAGGGCCAGATCATAGCAGCGGGCTCCACCAGGAAGCGATGCAATACTCCACCCAAGCCGAATCCCAGTGTCTGGGTGGAGATGGTGACGAAGACCTCAAAGGGCCATCCGTAGCGCTGTCCATAGAAGCCTCGCTGTGCTGTAATAATGTCGAGGGTATACGCAAACCCACCAGCAAAGGTTGCGTTGGCCATGATAGTGATGAGGGCATGTTCTTTCTTAGTGAACGGCCCTGGGTTGAGCTCGCACTTTCTGCCGAAAAAGGTGAAGGTAAAGTTGGGGAGAGCACGAGCCCAGGCCAAGCCGAAAGGAAATGCGACGACTTCGGCGATGTAAGAAGTAATCGAGATGGTTGGGCTGTGCAGCGAGAATAGAGCGTTGAGGCCAGATCCGAGAGTAGCAAACAGGAGACCCAAGGTCCAGGCGCGGATGGTGTTTCCAGTGCCTCCTTCATCGTAGTTCAGGACTGCAGCACGAACCTCGGGATAAGGAGAGTCCTCGATCAGGTCCTCAACAGCGTGGGCCTTGACGTCAAGATCTCCAGATGTGATGGCATCATCCAATTCCTTCTCAATCTCGCTAGGAAGGTTGGGATCGAATTCATGTTCCGCTTTGAGGTCCTGCAGATCATCGATGGTGGCAGGGGGCATCTCTGCCACCGATACACCGGTAGACTTGCCCGGCATGGTTAAAGATCAGTACATAGAATTCGTAGTTACGAAGACGCGCGCCACTGGTAGATATAATAATTGGATGACTGCGGAGGTATGCATAGCCTTATCAGTTCGAGTTAGATTGATGTTAGCCACAACCGGAGCTCCGTTTGGAAGCCCGACGGTGAAAGCGCGGATTCCACCTATACCTGCCGCTACGACTAGCTACATAGGCCATCCGCGTATCATGGGCCGACATTGCCCCCCCCCCCCTCCCCCAGAGCAACTGAACGGAGGAACTGAACGGAGAAGATAACGCAACTGTTGTACCACATATGTTGTAATAACCTTGGAACATTTCGAAAGAGACCTTATTATCAGTTGAATTTTTTTTTATTTTTTCAATCATTCATATAGAATTTTAGACAAACTATATATTGCCCTCAAAATGAACCAACTGCCGGGGACGACATTTGGCTGATATTTGGAAGCCTTCGAAGACCTTTATTTCTCCAATCGATTCACATAATCTTATCGTGAGTAGCTTGCCCCGATGTCTATGGTACCTTTCTAAGTGCCTAGCTTTGGTCTCCACCTCGGAGACACTATATAATCGAGTTAGAACCCCGGTCTTCCAGAATCCCGGTTTCATGTCTTGGAATTACCACCTTAATATTTTAAATTTGGATACCCTTCAAATTTACCCTTGAATTTACTCTGTAGAGTCGTCCGTAAAAAAAAAAAATTAATGAAGTTCAAACATCTGGCCAAGAGAACCTGGTATAGACAAGAAACACCAAGCTTTGTTCTGTTAAAGTTGCCAAGACTAACCTGAGAATGTCCCGCTCACATGGTATTTTGTCGGTGAAACTATAATCCACTAACCCAAATTAGGAAACTCCTTGCCAAGTGGCTTGACTCTTCGCTTGAAATCGCTTCAAATCACCCTATCACCCCTACCCAGACATGTTTCCCGGCTTCCGAACCCCGCTAAGGCCCCAGGGGCTTTGCGCCCTTCACTCAGCCCATATACACCATTCACTTACCACTGCAACGCAGTGGCGTTTGCTCGGTTGAATTAGCTGGAGAACCCAGTCGCCAGTATGATAGGAGATGGGGAACCTTTCAAATTCGTATATGTACTCCGTAGTCAAAACCGAAACATGCGATGTGTTCCGTTATCTCTCTTGCCACTCAGGAAGGCCACTGCATTGTTGTACTTGTTGTACACCGGTTCCCTCCGGCCTTTATCTGATTGGTCGAATACTGAGACCAAAGATAGCCATCTGAAGATACCTACATAGGTAGAGCCGAGGTCGGGCAACATGAGACTCGCAAGGTATACATTAATAATTAGCATGATAATTAACTAGTTAGTTAACGTTTACTTGTTACTTAGATAGCATTATAATATGGGGTAGGGTACGGAGTACATAAAGTGGCTTGGTGCATGGCAAGGATCCTAGTCAGCGTAGTATAATAGAGTTTCGAAAGTAGTCGCTATTATAAACAACGTCGCATACTGTTTCGAAATCTGTCCATGGTGTATGTTTCCTTTAAGGGATCCCAGCTTATAGTGAGAGCGGTAGCATGCTCGGACGTATCGCATGGGTTGTGCGTGCGATCATTCGACATATCACGCTTAACATAATCATCGAAGTCGTCATTGAAGTCGGCGATTTCATATGTGCACTAGGACTTGATGAAGTCTGGAAGTTCGGCTAGCCTCGGCCATTAATCCTTTTGGCAGATTCAGGGGGAATTAATGTCGTGGATTTCTATTGCCATTGCGAAGACTATGTGGGCGACGAAGGTGGAAAGGACATAGCGGGGAAGCGAAGAAAGAAAGGCTCGCAAAGAGAGAGAGAGAGAGAGAGAGAGAGAGAGAGGGCTGGTTGAGATCGCTGGGTGGGCCCGATCATAGAGCAGATCATGGATCGTAGAAATACTTTGTGGCTGGGGTGATTCCAAGGCTGAGTTTTTTTTAAAATAAAGTGATTACCATAATAAATGACACTTGTATTGAAAATGGAGTGTCACGAAGTACTACCCTTATTAGGCTTAGGCCACTGTACCCCGTAGTAACAGTACTGCCTAGAACTTATGGAAATCATCTCTCCGGTTAAATTGACTTGAAAAGTGGAGGATGAACCTACAAAGCTGGCTGTGCCGCGGTGGTACGCGCTCCCCGCCTTTTCTACCTATGGGGGCTGCCCTTTCTATCCGGGGGTGAAGAATGATGCGTGGAAATGATCACTATGGATAAATTGAACGGAGAAGATGCTAAAGGTAAGATTGGTGGATAATAATGCTGAGAATTCTGTGTTTGAAGTATACAGCGTGAAAATAAAGAAATGATACATTGATAAATTCTTAAACATATACCTGCACGATGCATTGCCAATTACAAGAAGATAATGATAAAGATTTACCAGAAAAAAGCGCCGGATGGAGGAATCGAGGAAAAGAGGGGAAGTGTATGTGCATCGGAGGTAGGGAGTCTCCATTTGATTATCGCCGAGCTTCCGTCTCGGTGTCAGAAACACCGACGTTGTAGCTTGGCTCGGGCTGTGTCTCATTCTCTGGTGTTGGCGTTTCCATTGCAGCAACACTGTCAGTGGGTTTGGTGTTCTGGGGTTTGCGGAGAGCACCACCCAGCCATGCAAGCCCACCACTCCATGAGTCACTTAGGCTGCGAAGACGGGTCACATCTTCGTTGGTGTGATGTGTCGTTGTGGTATTTATTTCTGTGGGGACAGCCGAAGTTGAACGGCCAACCTCGGTGGGTCTGTCTGCAAGGTTGGTGGCGGACTGGAGTCGAGCAGTTGCAAGTGAAAGCGCCGCATCACCATTTCCTTCGAGGGATGGATCTGCAAAGGCGCCGTCGAGCTGACGCCGACGTCCCAATCTCCGCCTTGTCCGATCCTTGAGCGGACTACCATCGCCACGTCGGATAGAATCGGCGACCACGGCAGTGAAGCCACCGGAAAGTGTGGGAAGAAGAGGCCCAGGGGAGAAACGATGGGAGATAGAGTTGCGCAGAGCTCGCCGCGATGGTGTTTCAAGGGGGGTCTCATCGCGAGTAGGGTGGTTGGCTTGATTTAAAAGCGTGGGGGTTGAAGCACGTCGGATGGTGCCGGCGTTTCCATTGGCTCCCGCTGCTTCTTCAAGACCTGGTGCAGGAGGGAACCGCAGGAGGACTGTCGAGGCCTGTGGTGTCTCGTCTTCCTGCTCGGGAGGCGTATCGGGGCGGATATCAGACTGCGGGGTTACGCCAGTCTGATTCTGGATGTCTGCCCATGGGTTGGACATGCGAGATGGGGGTCGCAATGGTGAAGTGTAGTCAAACGATGGAGCAGACAGAGGAGATGCATCGATCAAAGATCCATGTGGTGAAGAGGGCGCGGCAGAAAGAATGCCTTTAGGAGTAGACTGATCATCAACTTCATCAGTGCCTTGGCTCAATACGGAGCCCCTGGGGGACTGGGGAACGTCATATTGCGGTTCTCTGGAGACGCCTGATGTCTTTGGTAATTGATGCCCAGACGGAGATAAATCAATGCTGTCACGATACCTTTCGCCATTGAGTAAACCAATGGACCCCTCCTCGTCTTCAGATGAGAATGACGACTCGTCGTCGGCACGGACTCTGCCGCTCGTGATGAAGGAAACTCCGAGGAAAGTCAACAGACATCCGCCAACAAATTTTGTCGCGCGCTCAGCCGTTATGGATTCAAAATCACGGTAAAGGACTCCACTTCCAATGATAACAGCGAGAGTGAAGAGAACAAACTGCGTCGGGATCACCTGCGTGGAATCGAAGCGTTGTAGAGCACGATTGATGTAACGGATTTGCATCAATGCACTAGAGACAAGGACGAACACAAGCAGATAGGTGATAGGGAATGTAATAACATGCCACAAGGTGCCAGACAAAAGCGAAGAGACACCTTTCGTAGAAAGAGCTGTGTATCCACCTATTTTATAGGAATCAGCATCAAGATCAGCGGAGACAAGCCCCAAAACTAGAATTACTAGACTTAAACGTACCAAATAGTGCAACGAGCCCAACATCGATAAGGATCGATCGCGAGCCATACTCATGGCTTGCCCACATCAGACCTATAATCAACGATGTGGTCAATCCGAGATAGAGCTCGAATTCCCATCGCGTGATGTTCGCCCAAATTTCATCAGGTCCAATTTGTTCTTCAGAAGATTTAGCACTGAGAACGACAACGACAGCACCGGCAATAGAGACGAGCACGCCCCAGAGATCTCGCTTGCGGAATTGCTCCTTGAGCAAGCATGGCGCAATGATACAATTCGATATCAAAGCCACAACTCCCAATGGCGAGACGATCGACGCCGGCGCAAAGCCGTAGGCCATGAAATTTCCCATTTCCCCCACAACCATAAGCACAATTCCAGCCCACCAGTATGGAGACTTGAGGTAGGATTTGCGGTTACCGTCTGCGCCATCCTTGCTTCCGGTGCTAGTGGCCCGCGAGCTTAAACTAGGGTTCCTCCCCTCGGTGTCGATGTCATCTTCGTCGCGATAAGGTTCGAAAGCATTCTGGTCCGAGTCTCGGTATTGGGCCGGGGATCTCCCCCTCGACCCGACGCGGGTTCCATTGTTTCCATATTCCCCACTGCGATTCTTGTCCTGTTCCCATTCCCTTGCGATCCGAATATGTGCGTAACGTTGGATATTGAGGGCTAATGAGATCAGAACATTGCCGCATAAAGCCGTGATAATTCCAATCAGTGATGACCATTCATGCATGCTTCCCCCATTATTCCCATCATGGTTATGGGGGTTTCCCGATGTGGAATTTGATGCTGCGGCGAAGAGTTGGTGGATAGAAGAAGCCGCGAACGTGGATGATCTTGACGGGGAGACGGCCGAAGAAATAAGACCAGGTAGCAGGCTTGCTACCAGTGACGACTGCGAGGATGCCATCCGTTCGTCTGAAATGATGCGATCCTAGTAATCGAGTACTTTTTATCATGCGCTTTGGCGGGGAAGCCTTTTGATTGTCAAACACCCCTTACACACCCCAGCTCTTCGGCGGGTACGGCCGATCAGAACGAGCCCCCAGATTCCACGGTGAGCATTTGATCTCAAGTCGCAAAAGACCGCATTCTGTTCCGGGTAATCCGACTTTCTCGAGCGAGGATTATCACGGATAAGGGTAATGAATACGAAGAGAAGAAGTTTAGGCGGCAAGCTTACAGAGCGGAGACGCGCCTCGGGGCCGCGGAGAGAAGTGATATGTCAGCACCAAACAAACTCCCGGGGGAGCCGATTCCAAAGCTTTCAAAGTGCCTTGGAACCTATGCAGTAATTAAATGGGACACAACACAGATACGAATGGAAACAACGCCAAAGACAACGTTTGCGCGAGACCAAAGCTCGTGAGGTTCTTAGCATAGCTATCATTGGCGGTTCGGGCGGGCAGTTTGAGATCGTCGGGCTCTTGGGAGACGTCATGGAGCAGGAAAAGAGGGGACAACCCGGAGCGGAGTTGGGTCTGGTTGGACTTAGTTCCTCTATGAAACTACAAAGGTATACTACATATTGCATATCTCATACACAGCTAGATTTGAGTAATTTTAACTTAAGGGGCTAAAAATCGTATTGAATAGTGTACATATCTTAAGCGGATCATCGCTTTGCTTTCTTCTTTTCCGGTCCTTGCTCTTCACCATCACTCAGTTCCGCGTAGATGGCCTTTGGTTGTGTTTCCTTGTATGCCTTGGTGAATATAGGTTCCTTCTCCGCCCGATCAGCATATTTCAAAAGTGCTTCACGCGGATCCTCGTCTCGCATGGAACTGAGTGGAATATGCTCGAGGATATGTTTCTCATCTGGGGTATTTTTGGCGAACGGCGTCTGCGCTGGCAAATGCGGTCGGCGAGGATCGCGGGAGCGACCAGACGCTGTAAAGCCAACTGTAGGATGACGAGCAGACCTGGTCGCCGAGCTGTAATGCGGAACTCCGTTGGAACCGACGACGACCGAATCACCTGCCAATGCCTGGTTCAAGTCTGCGGTAACGGCAATTTCATCGACATGGCGGAGTTTTGGTGCCTTGGACATGACCGTCGCTGCGCCCTTCGTGGACATAGTTGGGTTATAGAGGACGTGGGTTTCGGCATTGGCGGAGCCCGTGATAATCTGGTTGAGCTTTTCGTGCCATAGAACAGTAATCAAGGGGGACCCCGGCGTCACAGGAGTGACAAGCTCTGGCTTGAGAGTAGCCGGGTTGAGGATATGCAAATGGCCGGTTTGTGAGCCTGTGATGATATTGGCAGACGAAGGAGAGAACTGAATGTTTGATGTCGGGTAACGGGAAGATGTCGAGGTATGTGTGACGGTTGTGACCGGAGACTTGAACTTTCTGGTATCCCAAAGCTTGATCGTATCATCACCACCTCTGGTGATGACAAGTCTTCCGTCGGAACTGATATCAATACCGCTTGTCCATGTATCTTTGACATGAGCATCCCGGATTTCTGCGCTGGGTCTTGTGTATGGACCGTTTCCACTCCACATAACTAGGCTCCCATCGAGACCCGCACCTACTAGAACATCGGCGCCTCCTTGTTTCGGGGAGCCCCATGCGATGGCAGTCATCTTAGTCCGGCCAGCAGAGCCAGCCGCCCGTGACTTGTGCACGATCACCTCCCTCTGCGAGCGGCCGACATTGGCATCCCAAATGCGAATTGTGCTGTCGGTTCCAGCAGTGGCACATAGGTTAGGATCAGACGGGTTCCATGTACCGCAAGTAACCTCAGACACATGTCCTTTAGTATGGTGCAAATCTCGTAGATACATATCTCCCTTCACAAATTCTGTGAGTATCTCACCATCACGGCTGAGAATCCGTGGCTGCGGGGTGGCAGTTACGGCTAGAACATAACTCGGGGAGAGCGGGTTGAACGCGGCGTAGTGCAAGGCGTGGGTGTCCTGGGCCGCCGTCGCTTTCTTGGCTGAAGGATCGACGGACTTGAAAGCGCGGAGTGTGGATGGAGTCATCGAGGCAAAGTCATATAGTTTCAGTGTGCAATCGGTAGAACCTGTGATTAGTCGGGCCCCCGAGGGGTCCACGGTCATGGTTGTCACGGCACGCTCATGAGTCTTGAGAACGAGCTCGTGTGATACGGGAAATTCATCCTCGTCATCATCTGAATCGTCAGAGTCTTCGTCGCTATTATCATCACTGTCTTTTTGCTCATCACCGCTCCCTCTTGCTTGTGCGCTAGGGACTGTTACGCCAGGGCCCAGTTCATTGCCTTCGAGTTTCGGAGCCGAAACATCGACACGCTTGGATCGGTCGATCTGGGACTCAACATCAACCGATTTCGCCTGCTTCCCAAAGCTGGAGGGAAAGAACCTGTTGAATGCCTCCTCGTCGAATTCATCCATGATTGAGTGTGTGCGAAACTTTGCGACAGATGGAGAGAGAGGGTTCGACGGTTCGACCTGATAGTGAGCTTGTTTGCACTGTTTGCAACCTTTGGCCGATAAGCCGAAGTGCTTGGCGCAGGCAATGCTCGCGCAGCGCCTGTATAATACACGAATTATGTTCTTTAATGCATGTTTACAGATAAATTTAGGGAAATTGGTAAGCGGTGCACCCTTTAGATTCGTTCGTTACTTGATTATTACAATACACACGGACCTAACTGAGTACAGGTCTCCAGCGCAAGCACTCTGGCACTCTACCTTCGAAAGAATTTCCAGCGCTTACAAGTACAGACCCTCCACAGGACCACCGTCTTGCTTGGTCTTCATGATACGCTCACGAGCAGCCCGGAAATCGTCCATCTGCACCCTCATCCGGCGCTCTCTCAGGGCCATCAAACCAGCTTCGGTACAGATGGCGCGGATGTCGGCACCAGAGAGATCATCCTTCTGGTTGATGAACTCCTCGAGATCAACGTCATCACCGAGAGACATCTTCGATGTGTGCAAAGTGAAAATCTTCTTCTTGGTGTTTTCTACAAAAATGTTAGTAAGCCACCACGAAGTAGTAGGCATCAAGGGGATCACTCACGGTCTGGATTCTCGAAGAGAATCTTACGGTCAATACGACCAGGTCGGATCAAAGCTGGGTCCAGTGTTTCGATCTTGTTAGTGGCCATAATGACCTTCACGTCACCACGATCATCGAATCCATCCAGCTGGTTCAGAAGCTCCAGCATGGTTCGCTGAATTTCTCTCTCGCCGCCAGATTGTGATTCGTATCGCTTCGTACCGATAGCATCAATCTCGTCGATGAACACAATTGATGGGGCATGATCAGCAGCAACTGAGAAGATCTGGCGAACCAAGCGGGGGCCATCACCCAGGTACTTCTGAATCAGCTCACTGCCAACAATGCGGAGGAAGGTTGCGCTGGTCTGGTTGGCAACAGCCTTAGCAAGTAGCGTCTTTCCGGTACCTGGGGCACCGTAAAGAATAACTCCCTTGGGAGGCTTGATACCCATCTCTTCATACAGCTCAGGGTGTAGCAAGGGCAGCTCCACGGATTCTCGAACTTCCTGAATTTGTTGCTCCAGGCCACCGATATCAGCGTATGATTCCGTGGGCGCCTTGTCCAACTTCATCACCGATACAAGCGGGTCAGACTCCTCTGTCAGTACACCGACGACGGACACTGACTTGTGGTGTAGAAGAATACTGGCACCCGGCTCGAGGAGATCTTTATCGACGAAAGACATGATGGAAACGTAGTACTCAGGGCCTGTGGCGCTTGAGACAATAGCATGGTCATCATCAATCAACTCTTCTAAGTTGCCGACACCCATCGGGCTGCCTCGCATGTCATCGACTCGACTCCGCTCATCGGCGTTCCGATCCATCACATCCAAGTCACCACCTCCCCTGGCGGGATCCTGGGTGGCCTGGGCCTTGGCCTTGCGCATTCGTTCCATGTTCTCAACGTACTCTTCTTCTAACAGCAGGTGGTCGTGAACACGCTGCATGCGAAGATATCGGAGCTTGCAGCGCGATGTAGGGTAGATATCGGGGAGCTTGGAGGCAGTGCTTGGGCCGGCAGCCTTGCGCTTCTTCTTTCCAAGACGAGTGGTAGGTGGTGGGGGAGGTTCGTATTTGGGCTTGTCCTTCTGATGAAAGAAAGATGGTCTCAGCGCTAGTTGTGTAGTAGAGGAAACGAGTAGCAACATACCTTCTTATCCTTGTCATCGCGTCCATCGCCTCCAGGGCCGCCGCCCAGGTTAGACTGCTGTTGACCCTAGTTTTGAATGTTAGAATGCACATCAAGATGGGCAACCCAAAGGCTGGCAAGATTGGGACACTCACCATGTTTGTCAGCCAACGAGAGGGAGACAATCAGAGCCCCTGGTGTGAAGTTGCAAATGAAATAAAAGTAGGATGGACCCCGAGCCTTACGTGGTATGGAATGATGGGAAAGACTAGTTGAAAGGGATGGATTGTCAATGCAGATGTGGTGGTATCGCCGGAGGTCAGACGCTGGGCGAGCTGGAAGCTGTTAGGTCCACACGTGACTATAAGTGCCTCAGGCCACAACTGCGTCATTCGCGCCTTGTTGCCTTAACGCCGGCACCTTGCTTGCGCCTAGACATTCTCGAAGACAATTAAAGAAATTTATATCCACCGAGGCTCTATATTGAAATTTACCTTACGAAATCTCAGGCTTAATACTCGTGTTTCTTCCTCTCGAGGTCTATACCTCACGTGCATATAAAAGGGGACAGGTGACAAGTATCTGAGCTCATCTCTCATACTGCCCTCTTCTCCGTATAGTTCCCCTCCTTGCATAGGTGAGATCCTCGTTTATATTGATCTGCTTTCAATCCCCTAGAGGATTTCATACTCTGGTTGTGATATTTTCTAGTTGATCTGGGGGTTTCCTAACAACCATCCTACTATTAGCCCCACTTCGCCTTCCTCTCCACAGCAGTTTCGTTCTTGTGCAGTCTTTTGAACAAGGCGGAAATAGATCTATTTAACCCCACAATCTACACATAAAGTGGTCTTGTCCTTCAACATCTCTTATTTGACCTTTTTCTGGAACAAGTCCTCAAATCACCATGGCTAGCAATCGTATGCGTCGCATTGGAAAAGAGATTGCGGACATTCACGCCGATGCCCACTCTCAAATCAATGTCGAGCCATTTGGCAACCAGGACGATGTCACTCACTTAAGGGGTTCATTTCCAGGGCCACCCGGCACCCCGTATGAAGGTGGCACCTACAATATCGATATTAAAATCCCCACCGACTACCCTTTCCGCCCACCTACCATGAAGTTTGAGACCAAAGTGTGGCATCCAAATGTCAGCAGCCAAACAGTCAGTGCCCTCTTCGTGATTTGCATATGAAAAAGAAAAAAACTATCCAGGTTCTAACAGCCAATGTAGGGTGCAATCTGCCTCGACACGCTTTCCAGTGCTTGGTCACCAGTTCTGACTATCAAGTCCGCTCTGCTTTCGTTGCAATCTTTGCTCAGCACACCCGAGCCCAAGGACCCCCAAGATGCTGAAGTGGCTAATATGCTTCTCAAGTCACCCAAGGAGTTTGAACGTGTTGCACGCGACTGGGCAGTCATCTATGCTGGAGCTCCCGCGGGTAGTGCTGACAATGAAAGCGGATCAAGCCTAGATGACACCCGGCAAGGAGCTAGCGAAGACAGTCTTGCAAAGTGAGTCGTTCTTCTCGCCATTTATTGGGTATTTTTACTGATTATTATCTATAGATATGATGGATACAACAAGAATTTGATCGACCGTTTCACCAGCATGGGCTTCGACGTTGATCGTGTTGTGGCTGCTTTCCGATATGTCGGTGCCGATCGACGAGGAGGTCAAGAATACGAGTTGGAAGAAGATCGTATGGGTGATATTGCTGCCCGACTTCTCGGTGAGTGATGTATATTCTGGTGTCTGTGGTGAATTCGGGGTGAAATGCGTCAGGAAGCAAATATGTACATGTATGTATTATCTGGCACTTGAAACCTTTCTCCTTTCACTTTAGTGCTTAGCATTTGTCGCTTCTTGATCATCAGGGTGTCTTATTTGCTCACTTGGTATGAACTGAGTACGACCTTGGAAAGGGGAGTGGCCGAAGTAAGCTACATCAATAAAAATACAACACGCTAGACTCATGTGCAACTTTCCCCCAATTACGTCACCTATCCTAGCGATCCCGTTGCTTTTCCAGATGACAAGCACGCAGTAGGGCTATTCGACTGACCTATTAGATTCTCAATGCGATTTAGTCTCAACCTCAGGGGGTTGTTGCTTAGCCCTCTAGGGTTGGAGGTACCCACGCCTTGGTGCCTAGCAGCCCCTGGGGTATTTCTAATTGCCTCTGTTCAATCGCACTATCCGCCAACTATCCTCTGCAGAAGTATGCATCGATTCACAAACATCCTCACGGAGAATGATCCAACCTCTCCATTTGTAACGTTTCTATCATCTGATAGGCTGTATGTGTCGCGCCTAATTGAGGAGAACAAACGTCAATATCCCCTAGGCCGAACATTCCAAAGTTCAGTCTCTCTATCGAGCTACAGAGCCTTGACGGGCCTACAATTGCGAAACATAATTCTAATAATGTGCTCATATATCATATCATCGGGGCCCAAATAACGGCCATGAAGGGCCGTGCACGATCTACTAGTCTGGCACCTTCGAAGCATTCGGGCCCCAGGGCTTTGTCCTCCTTGAGCACACGAACGACGGCCAACTGAAAAAGGTTGAAGGTGTAGCGGAAACGTGGAGGGATAAGTAGCTATCAGGACGTTCCTTTTGGGATTCTGAACATGAGCTCCAGTGCTCGTCGACCTCAGTCGGTCATGAGTATATTATATACACTAGCTACGCTATGCGTGAAAACAACTCGGAAGTCATATATGAAATATGACTAGATCACATTAAGTGGTTTATGTGTATCAAATAGTTGTGGCATAGGATTTGATTGATATTCAACGCAATAAAATATGACAAGGAAAAAAAACCAAAGTGATGGTTTGATGTCTCTATAGGCACCTGGGCAGAATTGAAGGAAGGGTGTTATCGATAAGCACCAGCTCTGACCTCCCTCGGGCCCTCGTGGAGAATTGTCAAATACCTATCTTCATATCTAGAACGCCACTGCAATTTCCACCTCTTCCTGCTGAGAATCTCTCTTTGGTGATACTCTAACTAGCCGGTCGTTATCTCCGCCCAAGGTTTCTAGCCTTTGAGTCTTCCAAGTCAAGAGCACCAGCACCATGATCGAAGACGACATTTACCGTGCCTCGTCCCAGTACCGACTGTGGTCATACACCGAGCCATCTCTACAATCTCTCCGAGCCTCGACAAATGCCGCTGCCAGCGAGCGCGTGCGCGCCGCTTTGCGCAGATCGCGCGAAACTCATCAGTCGACCGCATCCTCCGTAGCGGGGACACCACTACCGGAAAGCAATACGGAAAACAAAAACAAAGATGAGAAGGATGTCGAATGCTTGACACCAGAGGAGGAGCTTGTTCTCGTACGGTATTACTGCGAAAAGACATTAGAGCTGGGAGAGACATACAAGCCACCAATTCCAACAATGGTCCGGGTACGTTAAGCTCTAGGGCACTTCATTCTCTCCTTTGAAAGTCATTGCAAATAAAGCCCAGGAAGCTGACTTCCCTCATTCTGCGAAATAGGCCACTGCGATCCAATACCTCCGCCGCTTCTACCTAACCAATTCACCCATGACATACCATCCAAAGTCGATCATGGCTTGTGCACTCTTCGTCGCGACCAAAACCGATAATTACTATATTTCTCTTCGTCAATTTGCTGATGGAATTCCTGGTGACACAACGACAGAAGATGTAATCGCACCGGAATTCCTGCTCATGCAGGGACTCCGTTTCACTTTCGATGTACGGCATCCATTCCGGGGACTTGAAGGCGGCGTCATGGAACTACAAGCCATCGCACAAGGCCAAGGCCAACCAGCCCCCCATCTACCACATGAAACCGCCGAAGATCTCCAACAAGGATTGCTATCCATCGCACCTCCTCCCGTTCCATCGTCCTCAATGTCAGATCGAATCGCCCGGGCCCACGGCACAACTCGCGAGTTGTTGAAATCCGCCGCGCAGATGACGGACGCCTACTTCTTGTACACACCATCCCAAATCTGGTTTTCCGCCTTTTTACTAGCGGATCGTCCCCTAGCTGAGTTTTTGCTGGATGTTAAACTCGGTGGTCCTGTCACAGCCACAATCCCCGCCCCCGAAACAGACGAAAATGGCCTAGTGAACCCTCTATACGAAATCCGCTCCAAGCTGCATCACGTCTTGAGTGAATGCTCTGCTCTTCTCCAATCCTATGCACCACTCTCCTCCGACCCCGCACAAATGAAGAGCCTTAAGCGCATCGCAAAGAAACTATATCATTGTCAGAACCCCGAGAAGGTGAATCTGGCTGTCGCTCAGAAACGAGAGTCAGCACAACCATCCGCTGTTCAAAGCGATACTGGTGTGGTCACTTCCGAAAGCGAAACAGAACGCCTGGCGAAAAAGCGGAAATTGGAACAAGAACAGATCGTCCGTCAGGATGGTGATGTTTTTGGTCCGGAATTGGTCACTCAGCGAACCAAGCAGTATTGATCATGCAAGCCATTGAATCTAACTACACAAATATTCTAATATTAAATACCAGAACCGACAACACTACTAGATGCAACGAACGTCGGACTACAAGACTTGCATGTACCCTACAAATCCATAAAAGCCCAATACCATATGTAAAACTTAGACACAAAATATATTCAAAAGGGCAAATTATCCAAAATATCCACCAAAATATCTGCAACTAGCAGAGGCGTCGCATCACCGGTAGCAAGCTCATCCTTGATTACAGTCAGTTCCCACTTAATCGAGAAGCAAATATCCTTAATAGGAAGTGAACCCCAACGGATACGCACGCGGTTATCATCGCGGATCCCGAATCCGCCGACCTCACACAGGAATCCGATTTGAATGACTCGCTCGCAGAGCTCCTCCAGCCGTGTGCTCATCTCCTCCATGTCAGGACTTGGGGATGGGCTCAGCAGAGCGAAGACTTGGCATTGGAGCTTGTGGGTGAAGGTTTCGCAGGCTTGTGTGTAGATCTGCCTGAAGTTGTGGGGGCGTATGCGAGCTCCGTCCATTGTGTTGGTGTATGTATCTATGGGTAGAGGTTAATATGTTAGGGCTTACCTAGATCTGTATATAGCTGTGGAGAATGAGAGGATAGATGGGATGGGATTGTGGCGAGATTTGGGGATGTTTATATACTGTTTTGTTGGTGATAACTTG